AGTCGCGAGATGGAGATCGCGACGGTGGCCCAGCGCGCTTGTTCGCACGTGGCGCCGAGGGTGACTGGTGAGCAGTGAGCAAATCTATTGCAAAGACCTACCGCGCATGCTTAACCCCAACATGTTTTATTGGCCACAGTTTTACGCGTCCCATTTGTACAGGGGAGTTCGCGTACTAACACGCGTACAAACCGTTAAATGAATGAATATATAACTGGTAAAGCACAATGTCGAAAATTGCAATAAACACTTTATTAATATCTGTTACTATTTTATTTATTTTTATCCATTAGTTTGCCCATTAAATTGAAGATTTACTACTGTCTAGCGACAAGATCGATAGCTTTTATTCGACTTAGAATATTTGTAATATGAAACAAAGTCATAATTATATATTCATGATATAATTCATAGTATAGATTTCATAACATTATAACGAATCATTTAATATAGCTGTTTCTTCGGACATGGAAAAAAAAGGAAATGCGAGTAATTGTGAGTTATTATAATTTAAGACCTTGACCACTAAGCTATACACACACCACTATTGCTAAACAGGAGTGTACGATATAACATTGTAGTAATATTACGCACACACAATAATAAAATAACTTAATCACTGTTATAATTTTTACTTCAAAGTACACACTATGAACACTCCGAACAGAATGAATGATCTAGCTCGATTATTTTTTTTGGGCTGGATGAGCCACTGTTGGCCTTAGGGGCTTTTACAGTTCCGACGGGCTTGAGGTGGCCTGGCGCACGGGGCGCCTAGCCTGAACCTCGGCGTATTATTATTACGCGTTATGGTGACATAAGCTCGAGGGCTCCCGGGGGAACCTCGGCTCGGGCCTTCACGCTATTATTGTTACCGGTTTGGGAGGCCGCCAAGCTCTTAGGGCGCTTAGGCGGGCGTTCCATGCAGTGATCAGGCTCAAGGGTCCCCGAGAGGGGACCTCGGCTTGGGCTGTCACTCAACACGCGTTTAGCATTCCGATTCGAGGGTGCCCGAGAGGGCAGGACCTCGGCTCGATCGGTAGCTATTATCTGACTGGGGGAATTACTAGAGCTAACATTACTACCACTTCGGAGAGCGTTGGCGCTGGGAGAAGAAGTGGCGGAAGAAATTCCAGCAACGCTTCTATCATTAACTGGGGAGAACCTGCCAGGTACGTGGCGGAACCTAGTATATGTTTGCCGCATTCGCCGGCGAGTGCGGTGTGTGTTGGTGTGAGTCTAGCTCGAGACAGACATCGGCTTTTAAACTAAACAACACGTCACTTGGTCTAATCAAAACAACAACCAAATCAACGACAAGATAGGTAGGTAAATAAATTGATTAGTAATGATATAATATTAACTATAAACGATTAATCTTCAACAATTATCACCAAATGAATTACTTACTTCGTAATATTATGTGATATTGAAATTCTAAATACACCGAGATTAAAAATTACAATAATCAAGTTAATAATTAGCAAATTATTATAATAATTATTAATACACAAGTTAAATGTATACTGTATATATATATATATATATATATATATATATATATATATATATATATATATACATATATATATATAGCTTAATCTTAAAAGGGAGAAAATTCTGAAAAATGACTTTCTGAGTGAGCGGTCTCTCCGAGTAATCGTCGAAGGCTGTTCATCCGAGCATCCGAGCATATCAACGATCTGCTCATGTCCGGTGTCTATGGGTACGCGGACGACAGCACACTTGTGGAGAGATACCAACCAAGTCTTTGGGTCAGTATAGATCTTATTCAGTCCGAACGAGAGGCCATGGTACAGTGTATGAATCTTATATTGCAGGCGGTCTCTGAATGAGCCGATGCCAGGCTTGTGAGATTCAATGCCTCCAAAATGCAGGGGTGTCTTTTTTCCGCAAAAAGGAGCCCCTTCACCTTGTCTCCTACTTACCAGAATGTGTTCTTGGAGTATACCGACCGCCTTCAGTTGCTGGGAGTCGAAATATCCTGAAACCTCAACTTTGGGCGGCTTATTGAGTCATTGAGTCTAGATAGGGCAGCTGCAAGGAAGTTAGGCGTCTTTGCAAAGGTGGTACTTCACGCCGGGACAGCTTCTTAGCCTATATAAAGCTCGAGTCCGATTGTGTTTATTATTGTCATATCTTGGCTGGGGCTGCAAAATGCCATCTGGCGGCCTTGGACTCAATGGAGAAGCGTGCGGAAAGGCTCATTGATGACCGTAACTTGGTTAAAACTAACCTCACTACCCTTAAGCACAGGCGCAGGTAGCCGGCCTCTCGGTTTTCTACAGGATGCATTTTGGAGAGTGTGCGTTGGAGTTGCATGATCTGATTCCTCCCGCCCCTTTCCGTCATCGGACAACTAGATGTTCGGCGGGGTTCCACCCTTATACTGTCAACGCGATTCCCTTTGACATTTATCATCCGTACAGCTAAGGAATGGAAAAACCTTCCGGCGTCCGTCTTTCCGTTCAATTACGACGTAGGAGTCTTCAAGGCAAGAGTGAATAGGTTTTTACTGAGCTAGCACGCTTAACTTAAACGGCTGCATCGCCACTTACCATCAGGTGGGTTGGCGGTGAAGTGCTGGCCAGTTTTGTATTAAAAAAAAAATAATCATGTATCAAACCATTTTTAAAGATCAATCCATTGTCCACAACTTTTATATGAAACTTTTTTTCTAATGATAACAAATTTACTCTGATAAGTATTTTAATACGGATCTTGACTATTATGTAAAAAGTAATTTCCAGATCTATCTGTAATTTTACAAATAATAGAGCATTGAAACTGACGCTAAATATGATATATTGAAACATATTGGTAAACATGTTCAGTTATCTTGATGCAATACAAAAATTCTCTATTGACAATATTATTTTCTCTGATAACTATTTACACAACAAAATTTTATATCATTTCAGTAATTACAATTATTTGTAAAATAAATGGCCAATAAAATATCCTGGTTTCAAAATGCAGGTTATGAACCAAAAAGCGCATGAGAGACGTAAACGCTCCTAAGTTAGTTGGTAAAAGCTTTTGGCATGTGTGCTCCATCGCTTGCACCATACATCCGAAACGGCACCGTCTTACAAACGTTTTAGACGAACTAAGCTCGTGGTGTACAAAACCTATGTTCGTTCTCGGCTAACTTATTCAACGCCGGCATGGTACGATCTTTTATCTGGTCGCCAGAGAAAGCGTCTTCAAGCTCAACAGAATCTGTCTCTGCGAACTATCGTGGGAGCGGGACGCTACGTCAGAGTCAGGAATGACGTTATTGCGAGGGATTTAGGAATGGGACCCCTCGAATCCTTTATTATTAGACTAGCACGGCGCATGTTCGACCGAGAGGGGCGAAGGACCAGAAGGGCGCGCGCTCCCTCGAGAGATATTGCTGCTGCCTGTCTCGCTCCTACACAGGGGGGTTGAGGGTGGGACGGCGGGATCGACGTCCAATACTTAATGCTCATTGAATAGCCGTTGCTAGGGCAACGGACTTATCTGTTTACATAGTAGCGGCGGACGCAGTTAGTACCAGCCCTGTAGTCTCGGGCTCATAGAATACCGCTAATGTATCCCTGTCGTAAAAGGCAACTAAAAGAGGACACGGATTGGCAGCAGCAGGAAATGGTCTCGTGTTGCTGCACGACGGCGAGGGAATCGGGGAAGGTTTATCCTTCTCCGACGCGTGCTCACGCACAGTACTGTGGGACACCAGTGCGTTCCGTAAGAGATCCCGGAGTTCCTACAAACGTACAGAAATGGCCACCGAGGGGGTTTTAGTGGGTACGAACCCCTACATAATGTCAAAATAAAACAAAATAAAAACGTCATGACATGACAGGGTATCTTTTGAAGATACCAAAAAAAAGACGCAGTTAGTACAGATATGAACAATTATCGCTTAGTTTGTAAACAATCAATACTGCATGATTAACATAATTAATTATGCAGTGTTGAATGCCTATGTAGTATAATTTAGGATGACGTAAGTTAAACAAACTGATTTACAATATAGAACTACTGCTTTATATCAGTGCCAAATTAATTCTCCTGCCACCATTGCATGTCACCACAATGTCACGGCCTTTTTTCGTCGATTAATTATTGTTGTTAATCTTGTGTTTCATATCACCGAGTAAGCCATCGGGTACTATAGTACCAAGAAAATAACATTATGTACACCACCACTAGGGAACCATGGTACCTAAGTGAGATAGTGTAAACAAATTCCGTATATCATCAACTAGCGCGTTTTGTTTATAAAAATAGCTTAATAGAGACGATCTTTAGGAAATTATTCAACGAAATAAATTTAACTGGCTACAACTTTAAAGCAGAACGCCATAATAAAATTTAGAAAGTTTCTAACTGTAAGTGCGTTACGTGTAAAGTGATTGTTGACATAAAATATGTCATAAATTCTTATATCAATGCCAAAGTCAGAAGCGGTATAAACGTAGTGATTACATTATCTTTGGTATAATAATAACATTTTATTTCTCGCGCTGACGCTGGCGCCTGACACCGATTTGACAACGCGTGGCGCTGGCGTGCCGCTGGATATATAATTGAATTCTACCAGTGTTGTGTAATTTTTTTTTCTGTTGTTTGATTGTTCTTTCAAACTTCAAAGTAGTACTTATATCAATCTCGTTATTAAAGCACACTCTCGACCTGAGTCTTAGTTCTATCGAGTCCGTGGCTCATCTGCCTTGCGGAACTTTTGTGAAGAAGCGGAACTTTTGTGAAGAAGCGGTTAAAGCCACCCTGTAGGAAAGAAGGAGTATTTTACTCTGCAAACAAATGTACAGCTTCTTATTTTAATCTGTGATTGTCATAATTATCTGTGTCTTCCACTTCTGCCGTCATCTGTCACAAACTAAGTACAAAGTAATAAGTATCATTATTATCAATATTCAGATTCAGATTCACAAACAAAGTCAGTTCAGTGATTCAGTCGGTCAGTCGCAGAAATGGCTGACTTATTAGCTGTGCCGTTAAAGAAGTCTTCTGACGTAGATATTGTAAAACCCTTGAAGAATTTAATTCAATCGACTTATAACACTGGAGAGAACAATGTTGATTATAGTGATGCCATAGAAGAGTTGGGCCGCCTAAGAGCTAACGCTATTTGGAAGGTTTTCGAAAAGTCTTCACTAGAAATTATTTACAGGTATCTTAGCGTCGTATGAGTCACACGGACTATTGAATCATTGAACTAAATGTTTCAATTATACGTTAACTACGTTATTACCCTTTCAATATAAATAATACAAATTTCCTTTCTAAATGGTCACAAAATATGTCAATATACATCTTAAAATCTGATGGTGCTTATGTTTAAATAAAATATCATTTTTGCAGTTATTATGACCAGCTTACATCATTGGAAACTAAAATCCCACCACAAGAGGTACAAATTCCATTTAAATGGAAGGATGCATTTGATAAGGGTTCTATATTTGGAGGTCGTATGAGCCTTAGTAAGTTTCTCTTATTTTATTAGGACATATTTAATTTTATTAACTAATGCAATATAAATATTGCTGCATAATATAAATAAATACAAATTTCAATAATCTCTATAACAAGCTCAAGTATTTCAGAAACAATTAAATACAATAAAATAAATAATTTCATTCCACACAATACATGTACTTATTTATAAAAATTTGTTAACAGCCGTTGCCTCATTGGCATATGAGCGTATGTGTATTATGTTCAATATGGCTGCTATGCAAAGTACTGTAGCTGCTCAGCAATCACTTGACACAGAGGATTCTCTTAAACTTGCAGCAAAATTGTTACAGGTATTTTTTATTAATTTTTAATATGTTACTACCTACTTATTATTTAATATATATATATCTTGTTATAAACTCTTATGGAATGTCAAAATACTACCACTAAATATAAACAGTTAAAAATCTCTCATCTAATAAATAAAAATACTTTTCCATATAAGCATAATAATTATTTGTATGAATAGCAATTTATACATTTATTGTTAGATTTTCTTTATATGTAAAGTGTGTTAATTATTTTGATAGCAAGCAGCTGGAATCTTTGCATACCTGAAGGCAAATATTTTAATGGCGGTACATCAAGACCCTACACCAGACCTCAATCCAGAGACTCTGCAGGCATTGTCGCAACTCATGTTAGCTCAGGCACAGGAGGTCATTGCTTATAAATGCATACGAGGTATGCTTTCCAATTATGTCGGGGTCATTTGTTTCTGTTATGTTTCTCTATGACAGTGCCGCTGGCAGGGTAATGTCAACTTGTGCTCTAAGTGCTACTAACAAGTTTTAATTATTTTTGTCTGTGAAAATTAGTTAGGACTGGTTATTTTCACTTGCCAATTTGAGTTTTGGTTTTGTATTTGTGCCTTTTAAAAATATTTGTCAGTAAAAGAAGGATGTGTCGCTAATATATTATATTCTAAACTTTTACCTTGATATTTAAACATTAGTATCTTTGCGTACAAGTTTCTCAAACATTAGCACATTTTCTTTCGTAGTGGCAAAAATAGCACCACTCGATTGAGAGTCATCTACAATGCTTTTTCTGCCCCTTTTAAATTCACTTGACCACTTTTGTTTGGTAGAGAATGAAGAAGCAGAAATAAACAGTCGCATTGTGTTTTTTTTTGGGTTTTACCTTGTTTCGTCGTGTATTTAATTAATAACAATTTGATTTTGTTAATCATTTTAGCAACAGTCATTTTTATTGCATTCAAAGCAGCATTGCGACAAACTAATGATGGTAATCCTTACTTCCTTGCTAATATTATAAATGCGAAAGTTTGTATGTATGTTTGTTACTCTTTAATGCAAAAACTTCTGAATAGATTTTGATGAAACTTTACAATAATATAGCTTACACATCAGAATAACACATAGGCTATAATTTATAAAGATATTTCGTGAATTGTCCAAAATATAGGTAATGATAAGTGTCAACTAAGTACGAAAAAATTCAGCCATCTGCCTGATATTCTGGTTTATAATAAAAACTTATTGTCAATTCTCTTTGGCCACGGGTAAACAGCTAGTTTTCTATATTTTATCGCCTTTGATAATGTTATAAGTGAACAATAGACAAAATAACCCATATTACTAACAAAAAAGTTCTGATACCTGATTCTGATACTCTGTAGTATTCATATCAAAACAACCTGTCTTTGTTTTTGTAAATTACTTTGGGGATATCTGAAAAATACAAAGAATTTCTTTTACTCGAAGAGTAAATGAAGTATGATATTGTGCTTTTAGCAAATGAATAGTTTGTATGAGTTTAATTCTTCTTTGTTGTAATAATATTATATTGTTTACGTTATTTAAATGTGTCCTAGTTATAAGCTGTTTATAACCGTGCATATCAATAAACAAATAAATAAAGTTTAATTACTAGTCTAAAGTCTATAGCTGTGATAGCTCAGTGTTAGCTTAATTCAAATCCAGGGGCCTGCACCAATGAAAATGTTAATTTTAAATGCTCACTGATCACTTGTCTGCCAATCTGCATTGGGGTAGCGGGTGGACTATACCCTAATGCCCTCTGTACAATGCCAAGCAGCGGGACATGTACAGGCTGATATTTTACTACTTAAATATTGTAAGCAAGAATAATTTGTATTAACATGCAATTCGCTCGGACGCGGTCGCAGATGAGATGAAGGAGAGCATGGTGGCGAAGGTGTGCGCGCAGTGCGAGGAGCTGTACACGGACGCGCTCCGCTGCATGCAGAAGGAGCAGCTCAAGCCGCTCTGGGACCGCGACTGGATACCAGCCGTAAAGCCCTCCTCCGCCGGCAGTGACGTCACACGACATGCGTAACATTACGTTTAGTAACCACGGCGGCGCGTTTTGCAGGTTCAAGCTAAGCAGTCCGCGTTCCGCGGTCTCACACAATACTACCAGAGCCTCGTGTGCCGCGCCAATAAGGCTGTCGGAGAGGAGATTGCGCGTTTGCAGGTAACCTTATTAGCATATAACTCGCTCGTGCTTGGGGGCGAGCGCTCGTAGCGCCTCGAACGGTAAGCCATTTGCCACCTTGTTGTTCATGATTTCTTGTGTATTTAGTGGTATCATCTATGTGTATGTATTCCATACCCCGACATGACACGGTTGATGATTTCTCAATAAGTATTGACAAAGTATGACGATATGAATATGAGAAAAAAATGTTTTTGACAACTAATTTTATCAAGTAAATAATGTAGGATTAAGGATTTATAAAAATCTTTGTATGACTGGTGTTTTCGATAGAATTCAGTTGACTATTGATGCAGGGCTCGTGGAATAACCTTATATGGCCTTCGTCGGTTGCTAAGACAGAGCATGTGCGTCACTTATTGTAGTGCGTGCGATCGATGGCCGTTGGCTGGGGTGGTGAAGGTTTCGCGATCCTCGTAGATGAGGACGAAATACTTGTTTGTGTCATTTATGTTGTAAATTGTCTAAAATACGCTATTTACTTTAGTACATTTACACTGTAAGCGAACACATTTAACATGTAGGTATACAAGTATTCAAATAATGTGAAATCGAATATTAAAACTTAAAAATAATTCAATAAACATAGAAAAAACTTTCTCCCCTCTTATTTTCACTGTTTATTAACCTTCTCACTAACCATCTTCAATGTTCTTACCACCTCTATGCTGATGATCTTCAGCTATACTCACAATCGCTCACTGGTAACATTCATACCGCAATTTCTCGTGTTAATGGTGATCTGAGTCGTATCTCAAGCTGGTCCAAGCACTTCGGAATAACTGTAAATCCCAACAAATGCCAAGCAATTGTCATTGGTAGCCGTCGACTACTCTCACGATTTGACATGTCTAATTTACCACCTGTCCAGTATGAGGATTGCGTTGTTCCTTTCTGTGGTAGAGTTAACGATTTAGGTTTAATTATTGACCCATCTATTACCTGGTCACTACATATCACTGAGATATGTCGCAGGGTAACAGGCATACTTCGTTCCATATATCGCCTTAAAGCCTTTTTGCCTTCCTCTACTAAGGTCCTTCTTGTTCAGTCCCTTATTTTTCCATTATTTGACTATGCTGATGTCTGTCTTACTAATATTTCCCAAGAGTTGCTGAACAAGTTGGAGAGATTACTTAATAATTGCATACGATTTGTTTTTGGGCTGCGCAAATATGACCACGTGTCACACTTCCGTAACCAACTAAAGTGGTTGACGATACGCCAGCGCAAAGACTTTCGTATCCTTTCTACTCTGTTTTCAATCCTTTATGACCCCTCCTCACCTTCCTATCTAAAAGAAAGATTTCAGTTCCTCGGGGACTCGCATTCCCTCAATCTTCGCTCTTCTCAAAATTCGTTACTGTCTGTACCCTCTCATCACTCCGGTTTCATGTCAAATTCTTTCACTGTCACTTAATCTTACTTTGGAACAGGTTGCCTGTTGACCTGCGACAATCGCCAACAAAAAATATTTTTAAAAGAAAACTGTTTGAGCATATCCTTGCTGAGTCTTAGCTACTTAATAGTACTTACTATGTATGAACATCTGAAATGTATTTATGTGTATATGTATATATGTATGTATATTTATATATATGTTTGTATGTATGTATATATATTTATATATATATATATATATATATATATATATATATATGTTTACGTTGGCAGCTTTTAAATTTATTACCTAATTATTACATATTATTTATTTAATTATGTATCGTATATAACTACTTTACTGCCCTTGACATTTTATTTCTGTTCTACCAAGGGTTAGTTGGTAGAGAATGCAATATAGCATTAAGCTCGCCTTTGTACAATTTTCTGTGCAATAAAGATTAAATAAATAAAAATAAAATAAATAAAAAAAAAGCTACGAAAAAAATAATAACAATGAATGCAGTTAGTGAGTAATAAAAATTATAAATTATAAAAGAAGTTGTGGTGCAGGTGGCGACGGAGCTGCTGAAGGCGGCGTCCGGCAGCGGCGGCGTGGTGCAGGAGGCGGGCGCGAAGGCGGCGCGCCAGCTGGCGGCCGCCAGGCGCGACAACGACTTCATCTACCACGAGCGCATCCCCGACGCGGCCGCGCTGGAGCCGGTGCCGCGCGCGCCCATCGCCAAGGCGCTGCCGCCGCAGGAGCGCTGGGCGCAGCCCTTCCGAGGTGCGTCCTCCCGCCGCCGCCCTCCGCCCCTCCGCCCCTCCGCCCCCACCGATCTCACCGCGCCGCGCCCCCCCGCAGACCTGTTCGGGCAGCTGGTGCCGATGGCGGTGCACCAGGCGCTGCAGTCGAGCGCGGCGAGGCGCGCCGACCTGGTGGCCGTCGAGGTCAACAAGCTGCGCGACGCCACGCAGCTGCTGAACAGGTGCGTGCTCGGCACTGGCTCCCCGCGCGGGCGAGGCGGCGACGGCGAGTGACGTGTGACGGCCTCTGCGCAGCGTGCTGGCCTCGCTGAACCTGCCGGCCTGCCTGGAGAGCGCGGGCGGCGGCGCGCTGCCCGGCTCCATCCGCGACAAGGCGGCCGCGGTGCGCGCCGCCGGCGGGCTCGACGCGCTCGCCGCGCTCATGGCCGACCTGCCCGAGCTGCTGCAGCGCAACAAGGACATCCTCGACGAGGTGCGCCCCGCCCCGCCCCGACCGTCGGCGGCTTCGCCCGTTCCAACTCGCCCTCTGTGCACCGCAGGCGGAGCGCATGCTGCGCGAGGAGCGCGAGGCGGACGAGAGCCTCCGCGCACAGTTCGGCGCCCGCTGGAGCCGCAGCGAGTCGGCCTCCCTCACCGAATCCTTCCGCGCCAACGCCGCCAAGTACGCGCAGATCATCGACAACGCGGTGCGCGCCGACGCCATCGTCCAGCAGAAGTTCCAACAGCACAAGGAGGTGGGTCGCCCCCGTCGCCTCCCCGAATCCCCACGGAGCGGTGCTCACGGACGCGTTTTGCAGAACATCGCGTTGCTGAGCAGCAGCGAGGGCGAGCTGCAGGCGGGCGTGCCGGAGGCGCCCGAGGGGGGCGGCGCGGGGGGCTCGGACGCCGCGCCGCTGCGCCAACTGCGCCAGCTCATGGACGAGGTACGGCCGGGGCGCGACCGCCGGGGAGGGGGCGCACTCGCGCGCGCTGACGCGGACCGCTGCGGCCGCAGGTGGAGGCCATGAAGGCGGAGCGGGACACCATCGAGACGGAGCTGAAGGACGTGACGGTGGACCTGAAGGAGCGGTTCCTGGCGGCGCTGGCGGCCGACGGCGCCGTCGACGAGCCGGCGCAGTCCGCGGCCGCGCTGGGCGCCGCGCTGGCGCCGCTGCAGCGCCGCGTGGCCGACACGCTGCGCCGACAGGAGACCCTCGTCGCCGACATACAGGTGCCTTCCTCTCCTCCGTCTGATTGCGTTTGCTCGTACAAGTGTTCACTTGTAATCGCTCGTTCGCCGCAGCAAGCCCACTGCGCGCTGATGGGGGCGCGCGGCGGCGCCAGCGGCCGCGACGCCGCGCTCGGTCGCCTCTGCGCCGCCTACGACGCCTACCAGGACCTCACGGGCAACCTCAAGGAGGGCGTTAAGTTCTACAACGACCTCACTCAGGTGCGCCACCTTCGAACTATTTAAATAAACATTGCAGCAGTTAAGCTTTCTCTGAATCGCGTCAATAACATTGTCGTTTGATTTTCGTTCGCAGCTGCTGGTGGCGTTCCAGAACAAGGTGTCGGACTTCTGTTTCGCGCGCAAGACGGAGAAGGACGAGCTGCTGAAGGACCTGACGCAGGAGGCGTCGCGCTCCTCGCCGCGGCCCGCGCCCGCGCCCCCCGCCCACCACTCCGCCCCCGCCGCCGAGGTGCGCCCCCCTCACGCCCCACGCCCCACGCCCGGTTCAGTATATGAAGACGTGAATTCCGCGACTAACGCGCCCCATTGCCCCTCCACAGCCCGCCGCGGTGAAGAAGGAGGCGCCCCCGCGCCCCCCTCCGCCGTCTGGCGCCCCCTCGGCCGCCGCCCCCGCCGCCCCCGCCGCCCTGCCCTACCCATCGCAACCGCAAGGTGAGTGCGCTCTCACAATCAACATTATATTAGACAACAATACAATTCAAATATTACAATATTTTTTACCATCTATTTCATTTCATAGTATTTTCCGTTACTTCATACTTGCCTCAATACGTCATCAGGAAAACATACTAGAATTTACATAGAAAGTGTATTGTATGTACAGTCGCCTGTACTCGCGGTGTTCCACCCTTAGGGCGATAATCGTTTGAACGAAGTGCATGCGGCCATCCGATAACACGGATGCAATTACCAATAGGAAGACACTTTAAAATGTGTGTGTGCGCACGAAAGGTTCGCACGGTAACTGTAGGACAAAAGGAGTATGTGATAGGTTAGTGTGTTTTTCGTCCAAATAAAACAATGTCCTACAAAAAAACATAATTACTTTTCATGACCTTGTTAATTATACACGTTGGAGAGGGGGGACTCTTTGATAAAACTTTGAATTTTGTGGGACAAACATTTTTTCGGTTTATTTAGATAATTATCTTGGGAATTAATAAAGAAAAAATCAGTTAGTAATAAATTTTTGAAACTCGTCAAATCAACATATTTCACCTCTGCTAACCCTGTTAGCTACCGTTTCCCAAAATTGTTGTAAGGAAAAAGGCGTCTCGTCAAAATGAAGCTACTCACAAAAAAACTGCTTGTTAGTAATAAAAGGTGAAAATGGGCCTGGGATCCCGTACTAATAGTTTTGTATGCTTCTAGCACACAGCTTTTCACTATAACATGAACTTTTTGAAAGCTATCTTTACAATGACAATCTGGCAAAATATATAGTAGCACAAATACATCAAATGACAAATATCGTATAAAAAATAAGTCATAAAATTTTCTTGCGATGAAAATAAAAATTATATAATTAACAGCTTTTAAGTTCAAAGTGTACTGACTAGAAGTGTATAGGTACGTACATTGTGTTCTATCTATTTTCTGCTTCGCAGTAAAGATTGAAAATAGAGTATTTTCACATACTTTATTTTTATGAAAAATTATAAAATATACAGCGTGTCGTTACCACCGCGACAATAAATGAACACGCATATAGAGGATAACTTTTTAAAATTGTATTAAGCATTTACATTCTTTAAACATCAATATTTACCGAGTTATTAAATTTTCCAAAACAAACAATTTTAGAACACCTTTACGTATAAAACTGTAACGTAAAGTTCATTTGTAAAGGTCACAAAGCATATGAATGGGTTGAATGAGTTTAAAAGAGACAAAACATACTGTTAGAAGGAGAGGCTTGTAATGCGACGCTGTGGCGCGAGTTGTAAAGGATGTTACAAATTTTGTTTCTTTTTTACTTAATTAGTTTGTTTGAAAAATATTTTTTTTTAATTATGGATTTTGTTTAACGTTAATTTTTTTTTATGATTATTGGCAAGTAGCGTTAGACGTGTCATTTATTGTCGCGATGGTAACGACACGCTGTATTTACCAAAAATAAAATAGGAAACGTTAAGTATGGTTGGCAACCTAGAGGAACCTCATTACGAAACGGTGGTAGATTTAAAAATAACTATCGATAGATGAAATGTATATTTTTTATTTCGATGAATAAATGATTTGATTTGATACATACCAAACTTTGTGATACTACGTTTACGAAAAGATTAATGTGATGACTCATTTGGCGCAGTCGATGTTTGAAGCTTCGCTTAGGTAGGGTCTGTATATCGATCGCGCAGGCATGCCGCTGCCGTACGGCGCGGGCGCGCCCTACCCCGTGTACGCGGCGCCGTTGCCAGCGCTCTACAACCCGTACGCGACGTTGCCGTACCCGCACCACGCGCGCATGCCGCCGCCGCAGCAGTACCAGCCCTACCAGTACGCGCCCCCCGGCCCGCACTACCCCGCGCACCAGCCGCCCGCGCCCGGCTACAACCCCTTCCCGCAGCAGTAGACGAGCCGCCTAACGCCCATTTGTGCTCATCCTTTTATCGTCTGAATTAATGGTTAAATGATTGATGCATATGCGAACGCAGGATATGAAGGTGGCAACCAAAAAAATTATAATACTAAAAAGTAGTACATGTACTGTGATTTAATGCCTTATAAATTGTTTTCTCATCATTTTTGAACTCTTAATTTGTACCTTAGTTTTAACTTGTCGGTGCTTCGTACCTGGGGTTTGGCCTCTTATAGTGTTATATGAATTATATTTATTAAAATTAAAATGAATGATCAAAAAAAAAAAAAAAAAACAATAACACCTATCCCAAATGCATAGTAACTAAAAATAAATGCATAATATGTTAATAATTGTCATTATAATTAATTGTATTAAATAAATATGTTTTTAAATATGACGGTCTTTCAATAAACGTTTCCTCAAAAATTTAATAAAACTATTAATCTTACGGTATGTTCATGCAGAAATGTAAAGACGGAGTAATCAAACTGTCACCACTCAGTAAACAGATGGATGCTTTAAAAATATAAAAGATTTCGCGAACCACGATTGCAGATACAGGGAGAGTGGCTGCCGTGAACCACCTTCCACCTTTCCTCCGAACCTTCCTCGCTAGCATCCAAAATGGGCTCAATGAGCCCACTTGGGGCGGCATTATAATATATTATATATAATACATACATAAAAGTCGGTTATGCAGAGTGAGCAAAACAGTTTTTCTTTTAAAAGTTTATTTACAAATAAATTTTGTACTTACAACATGAAAGAATCACTATCAGAGTTATCACTATCGTCATCATCATCACTGGACCGTTGTTTAAAAGAAAAATGGCATTGTATTAAAACGAAAATCCTTGTCTTGAAATATTTCAAGTCTATGTGCCCAACATAAAAAGAGGGGTGTTATTTAGTTTGACGTGACCGTCTGTGTGTATCTGTCTGTGGCATTTTGACTTGACTTGACTTACTTGACTTGACTTGACCTGACTTGACTTGACTTGACTTGACTTTTAAGCGAATAGACCGAAAGCTGAAGTGATCGTGATGGTTCATAGCTATGACTTCAGTTTTTTGTTGTGTCAACTTTTGTAATTATAATATATTATTTTCGATTCTTTTATCGTGGTTAATCGTCACTGGTAATCTTTATAAACAGATTATTAAAAAAGGTTTTTAAATTTTAAAAGTGGAACATTTAATTTCTTTGCAAGCCGTACTTATACCTAGATATGCTGAAATCATGTACGAAAACAATCTTGGAAACTCGACCGTAGTCAGCGTAGTGGATAGCGAACTTGTCCCTTGCGCCTGAGGCTCTGGGTTCGATCTCGACTACTGGAAAAATATTGCGTGATGGACATAGAGTTTTTCTAGTGCCTGGATGTTTATGTATCTGAAATATGTATTTATATGTATATAAAACAAACGTATGTTTGAGTGTGTATCTTTTGCCTAATACATACCCATAGGTAATACAAGCTGGGGCTAGATAACATAGTGTTATATATTAAGTATACAATATTCTAAATTATGTAGTGTTTTTATTTGCAATTTTCTTACAAAAACTTCTTTATAAAAGATTAAATATATAATAAACTGTCTAATACATGCGTGAATAACAACTTTTCATTACTCTCCAAATCTTGTTCCGTTACATAAAGATGGCTCACTTTGTCACCTGGAAGGACACAGACAAATTACTTATCTTTTTGTTAGCTGGTGACCTGAATATAAATCGTTTCTTGCCCTGCTGTAGAGTACGTTTTGCGTGGCCGCTTCTCAAGTTGATTTGTTCCTGGTTCCACGCGAGCCGCGACCCACCAGTTGTCTTGAGATACAACGACCATCCGAGGTCTACGTCCGTCCTCATGGCCCGCCGTTACCTGTATGCTTTCCATCTGTCCGCTGTGTTCGTGGCTGCCTCGCTTTTCCAGAAGCCGCGCTGCTTCCGCGTTGCTGATCTCCGTTTTAAACTTAACATTGCCATTCTCCGACACGTAGGTGAGTACAGGTTTCACCACTTCATTGTGTCTCGGCCGTTCGTTGTTCCTTCTGGCGTGAATTCGTTTGCGGTGTGATGTTTTTCGCTTTCGCGCTCTTTTATAGAAATACTCCGAGTCGCTGGTCTCCAAACTGTCGTCTGAACAGGAATCTCTCGAGTCGTCCGTCGAGGTATCTGACGAGGAGTACCGACATTTGTGTTTGGCTCTGGGTAAGCGTATACTCGGTGGGAACGGTACCATTATTACCGGCGGTGGCGGCTGCAGGGGCACAGGTTGGACGGGAGGCATGGGAAGGGGGGCGTCGGCGCCGCTGCGGCAACGGCACTTCTGGTGGCAGGGCGAGCAGTACGAGAAGAAGGCCGGCGTGCAGGAGGGCAGGCAGAGGCAGGGCGGGCACGGGGGGCAGTGGGCCGGGCGCGGCGTCGCTTGGCACACGGCCGCCGGCGCGTACGCGAACGGCACGGGCATTTGCACCGGAACCGGCACCGCCAGCGCCACGCTGCGTGGCGTCGTCGTGGTGGTGGTGGTGCTGGTGGTGGTGGGGCGAGGCGGCTGCAACGCCACCGCCGGCAGCAGCACCGGCATCGCCGCTGGGGCCACCGCGTACATTGGCATCGGGACGGCATATTGTGCCGATGCAAGCGGTGCGGTGCAGATCACATTTGTTATAGACAGTATTAGAGTCCATTGCATTTTTGTATTTCACTTATTTTTTAATTGTTTTTGATACATGTCCTATTTCAATGACATACTGGTGGAGCTAAGAGTAAAACTTTTAATTCCGTATTGGAAAGAATCTTACAATCGAGGAAATATTAGAATCTAAAGCATACTGCCGCGCTCGTAACAGCTTTTATGTGTTTTTTACGTAACACGAATGCATTGAATTTTTGATAAGGTTTATGTTTTATAACGACATTCAATAGTAAGGGCGGATTCATACTTGAGGCTCTGATAAGTGTAGACGTCACTCTTGGTGTTGCTGGCATGGTATTCTACCATGTCTTTTTGAAATGTCACTAATATTATTTATCTTCGACCGATAAAATTCATTTTCGTTTTGCAGCCAGTATTACAGCCAAGTCTTAACGTCTAACTCTTTAACCGAGTATTTAAAACAACACCATAGTTAATATTATGCTATTGAACTATACGTATATTCTGGAAATATTTTGCTTTTTACTATTGACAAATCGTTTTTACATAAAACTGCTCATAGGTTATTGTATGACCCTGTCCCTTAAAGACGTAAACATTCACTTATTATTTGATAACCTTTACCGCACAGAAACAGAAGTTATTACCAGTAAGTCAGCTTTTACCATCTACTTGTATGCAGGGCCGGATTTAGGGGAGGGCAAACGGGTCTACAGCCCCAGGGCGTCCACAAAAGAGGAACCCCAACAATAGACTTCGGAAAAAAAATTTCAAACTCAGACTAGTAAACAACTTTTCCTTTTTGAAATCATTCGTGGAATCCAAAAGAAACAATCCGAAAGAAACGAGGCTGAATCCGCTCGATTACGGGATAGCACAAGCACAAATCTATCATCGAAGGAAAAATACAAAGTGAAACCTTTATCCCAGTGGTCGACCAACCAGCTATGTGTTTCTCTTACCAAAAGATAGCATGCCTATGAAGCGGTGCGTTCGAGGCTTGGATTTCTTAATCACATCGAGAAGATGGATACTGAAAATTACAATTAAACGCTGCAGCAGAGGCATTGGTGAAAGTTCTCAGGATGATTTAGAACCTAGTCTAAAACTCGACTGAAAAACATTGTTCATTTTATTTAGGAAAATAATTTGAGGTCTCCTTTAAGGGGCCTCCACTCCTTTGTTGCCCCGAGGCCTCTAAATCCGGCCCTGCGTATACGGTGTAATATTCCCCACAAGGTCTAGACTAGATTAATGCAAGTTTAACTAGAATGTAGTCGCTCCAACTGCAAGTACTATAAACCCTTTTTGCGAAGAATGAATAAAATAAGTAACGAAAATTCTAAGGAAGGTAACCAGGTTAGTTAACTCTGACATTAGGACTCACTCTGCATCGTGACCATGAAAGCTGTAGTAATGTTGATTCACAAAATAAAACACGATAAAATTCGTAGAATAGATTTACTCAGCTACCAGACGCCGCCCAATCAGTTGACACTGACGATGACTGAATGAGAAATTTTTATGATCGAAACTTATAGCAAACAAATAAAAAACATTTCAGGTTTTATCATAAAAACTAATAAATAATACCACTGTCCAAAATAAAATGTTGTAACTTACTTAACTTAATTTATCTAATAATATTAATAATGGGGACTAATTAGACCAGAACACCAGTCGATGCTTTAAGATCACCGTGTTGATCGCAGTATATACCGGTGAAAAACTTTCGTATTCCTTGCGTGTAAAAAGCAATGTCCTACACAAATCTGTTCTGTGTTTTTTTAATGTGAAGTGGCGAGCGAGTAGACAGCTCAATGATGTTATCAACCGCGAGGCGGCAGATGCGTTATAGTTACTTCCCCGAACAAGATTCCTGCACCATCACTGCCACAGTTAACGTTCAATTGATACGTGTTGTTATATGTTGAAAATGTATTATATTATTATTAAATTTATTAGTTCTTATTTTGCAAAGTCCGTGGCGAATCAACCTCTTCTACATAACGGACAACGCTGAGCAGCGTTCAATTATTTTTTATGAAAATCATCGCTTTACACATATAGGGAGTGTGCTCGATCGAATACTTAGTTCTTTTGGGTATGCTTGTAAATTTCATAAAACAATGGCATGTTTGCATAATGCATCGGTTTCCTCAGTTAAGAACATGCGATGACTGTAAGCCGCGCACATTTCATTGAAAATGGCGCGTGATCCGTTTCGGTTACTAATTGTTGTTTTCGCTATCAAATTTTGTTTTACCCTTGACGTTAATTTCTCAAGAAGCTCCTTAAATAGCAATCTTTTGATAAAAAAACTGACTAAGCGGAATGCAAACAACAGTCTCGACTTCGGTGACAAGAAGGGCGACCATACCATGTTGGCGTCTACTGATCCGAGACAAAACAACCCGTTGAATACGGGTTTAGGTCCGAGCATGGCGTTGCAGCCGGGGTGCCCGCCGGGGTTCGGTTGCAGGCCGCTGCCGCTGGCGCTGGCGGCGCCGCCCCTCCCTGCCGTCCAGGTGCCGCACGTGGTGTACGCCCAAGCAGTCTACGAGCCTGTCGTCCACGACCACCCGCCCATACACAGAATACGTCAACTAATTGAAGCGGACAAGAGGAGAAGACGGAAAAAGCCGAGACATTCAAGTGAAAGTTCATACAGCGACACTAGCGGACCGTCCAGTAACTCTGACTCTGATTATTATCGATAAACAACTAGCCTAGCCTCCTATAAGTCGTGTTGAGTTGTAATCTAAATTTTCGCTTTTTGTGTATGTTATTTCTATTAAAGCTTTTAAAAAGCGTCAAATTATACTTTTTTTTCCATTTAAACTAAATAGGTCCCGTGGGTTAGGTACCACAGAACAAAAAGTCGTAAAAAAACTAAGTAGAGACCAAAATGTTATTGAAAATAAATAGAAATAGCGTGTAATGAAAATTGTAAAGATTGTTCGTTGTGTTAAATGTTGCAAATAATAATCCAGCATAGGTATTCAAAAACTTCTAGTTTGCGTGTGCTGTTTGCACGGTGTATAGGTACTAGATAGAATTGGTATCTACATCTCTATCCTTTAAACGAGCAATTCTTGTATATATATATATAATCGGAATCTCGGAAACGGCTCCAGCGATTTGATGAAAATTAGGACGTGCGTAGATTCGGGGGCGAAAAACGATCTTCATTTTTAGAAAATGTCGTTTTATCCCAGTCTACAGGGAATGAAAAATATCATTCGAATACGACAGTAAATTTCACCGAAAAAAAAATGTTATAATAGCTCGGTCGGTAATCGGGCAGCCCCGAAACAGAAGGCCGTGGTTCGTGTCACGATCATTTCATTGTTTCTTGGTAAAGTGTTGGTGGAAATTGTTCAATATTTTTTTTTTTCGAAAATGTATCTAATGTGCTACCACTTACCAATCTTCATATTTTATAAGCTTAAGAGGTACTTTCCTAATAAGTTGCCATTAATAAACTAGAACATTAGTTAATCTCGCATATTTTTGAAAATATTTATACAGCCGTCGGTTTATTTTTGAATTCAAAGTCAAAGTCAAAGTATATTTATTCAATATAGGCCTAACTTAAGCTCTTATTGAACGTCAACAAAAATCTACCAAGGTATTGGGTAATTGGCATAGTTACAAATCATTTTGGTACGCGCCACTGTTTGATGGTGTTATTTCAAAGTTGTATGTATACAGAAATTAGCATTATCTTTTCAAACATGACCCAACACGTGAATTCATGAAATAAACGATAAAAAATCCTTGCCCTGGTTGCAGTGCGGATGAATTTATTCTGCAATAATTACCTGAATTTTCTGAGGTGTGTTTGAGGAATGCGCGAATGACATGCAAGCATAGGATTTAATGTATGTGAGGTAATATTAGTTCCACGGAATCGGTTGGTCCAAAAGTGTCATCGATTATAAAGATGATGATGGATTTTACTCTGGCTTGGTCTCCTTTGAAATAGATTGCAGAATAGAGGTGACCCAGAAAAACAGGGTCATCTCTATTCTCCATTTACAAAACTAATCACCAAGGCGATCAGCGGGCGTTTTGGAGACAAGTGGTAACGGTTTCAGGGCAGTCGGCTAGTGTAGTAACCCTTAATGCCAGTTTGTTGAATGTCTTTGCGCGATATCGAAGAAGAGGACAACCCGAACGCATATAAGAACTATGTTCATCACACAATATTTTTCCAGTAGTAGGGATCGAAGCCACGCTGGCGCAAGAGGCAGGTCCACTATCCACTATGCTGAGTTTCGAATTTTAATTATATCTTTGACCTCTTCCGGGGTCATTAACTTTAATGGGAAATTTATTTTCAGTGCTAGCAGTTAATATAAAACGTAGCAATGTGTAGATAAAACTTCCACAAAGTTTTACACTACTGCCAGGATTCGAGCCTGCGCCTTACGGATTGCGCGCGGACGCCCTAGCCACTGAAATAATCGGTCTATATCTATAAAATAAAATGAAGGAAGTAGAACAAAGGCAATTATTGTTACATGAGTATTAAAGTGTTATAGAAAAAATAACGTTAATTGAGTCTGTCTTTATTGTGTAATATTTTTTAAATATAAAAATATAAATTGGATCTTTGCTATTATATACAGAATTATTAGTAGAAAAATTAATTTAATAAGTGTGAAGTTGACGACCATTACTTTTCTTTCCTGGCTAGTTTCTTCGGCTGATGACGGTGAGGAGTTTTATGCATCCTGCCTTTTATTTTTTCAATTTCACTGATTGCTTTTGCATTAGCGTTTCTTCGTTTTGCAGTTTCCGTGGTGGCATTGTCGTATTCTTGAAGTGCTTCCTCTTCTTCATTTTTCGATTTATTTTCATCTTTTGGGGGTTTGTTGTATTCTCTACCATTCCTCTCCTTCTTCTCTTGTAGCCAATCGCTCGCCTGATCTTTGCTTATTTTCTTTTCAAATATGACATACCCATCCTTGGTCACATACTGAATGATCGGTGTAAGAAAGTCTGCATTGGCCTTATGCCTCCTCCGCTGATGCGCATGCTTACCGCCGAAGCGTCCACCACTTCTCCTGCCACCCCACCACGCCCCCCCTCCATCTGACGAGGAAGTGTCGCTTGAAGAATATCTAGAGTCGTCAGTCTCGCTTGTTCCCGTATCAGTGTCCGTATCGCTTTCAGAGTGATACGGGGGAAATCTTTTTTTATTTACGTGTACTCGCCTTTTTTTATGTCTGGGGCCGCCAGGTGCTGGTTTCCTGGCCCCTTCTGGGGAGTAAAATGGCATTACGATGACGGGCACCTTGTGAGCGGGACCCGGTAGTGGCATGGGCATCATCGGCATGTGCATCGGCATCGGCACCGGCGCCGGCCCTGGCAGCCCCGGTGGCCCCGGCACTCCAGGCATCCCCGGTGGCATGGGGAAGGGGATCGGGGCGCCACCTTTATCGGGGCTCGGGAAGCCGGGAGGTAGGGGCGGGAAAGTAAAGTTTGGTAGGCTCCCGGGGAAGAACGGATAGTTCGCACTCCGTGGCATGCGGCAGTGCATTGGCAAACTCTGTGGCAAATAATTTATATTTGTTGGACACAGCGGTAAATCGTCTTCTTTAGCTAAAATAAAAACGATTTGAATAACTAATACACAGATGACAGATTGTAGATGCAACGTCATGTCTATGTACTATAAATTAGGTAATTAAAAACTAGTGACAATTTAAATAGTACGCAACGAATTGATCTCCCAACATGCGATACTTTTGTGTTGTCCAACGACCAAGTACTAGTCGTCAGGTTGCGTCGGCGTGCTCTATTAAAGTCTTCGAGGCAGCTGCGCCGTGCACAATAACTCATTGTTGGGCACTGGATTGGTTGCGTAATACGCTAACCACCACAAAGTATAAGCGTTCTTTATCCATTGAAAAATGTTCATTACTCTTACATAAATACCAATACAACTTACGTAAAAAAGGTGCAAGTTAGATCATAGACAACTGTTTTCGTGCACATGTGTACAACCTATTGTATTGCAAAACGGAAAACTATATATTGGTCAACGCACAGTCCAATGATGTTTAACGTATGTATCGATCAATTAGCGACATACAGCGCATTTCTTTTTCGATAGAATAAGAGTTAAGGTCGATACCTGGATTAACTAGCGTGAGTCTCATTAGCTCTGACCTTTAAGTAAAATCTTTTCCCAGCTATGCTTCAAGCGGTCGCGCTTTGCCAGCTGATAGTGTGCATGTTGCCGTCACTGGCTGGAGCGCAGTTTGCGTTCCCCGTGGGGCCGATGGGGTCGATGGGGGGCCCTCCGCTGCCGCTGGGCCCACAAGCGCCCCCCTCCATGCCACACGGCCCTTTCCTATGCCCATGCCTATGCATATGCCCGTGCCGCTGCGACATCCCCATATGCCTGTCGTGGTCATGCCCTACCGCTCCAAAGCGACCGATTACATATTTAAAAAGAAGAAACGAAGAAGACCGGCGTATTACAGCGACGTGTCGACATCATCAGATGACAGTACGAGCGACAGCGCATCGTCGAGTTCCGAATTCGAGTTTAGAGGAAGCAAAAAACGCTGGTCGAGAAGACAGAAGAAACGCGATGTGTTGACACCTGTCATTTCGTACGTGACTAGGAGCGGCAGGGTCGTCTATCAGAAGAAAATAAAAAAGGAGAACCCGAGCGACTGGTTGGCTTTAGGAAAAAGCCCCCAGGCAATGGCCGTCGGCAGCGCCGAAATGACGGTGCGCGATTTGAAAAGGAAATACAAACTGAAGAAAAGCAGGCATAGGCATTAACCGTAGTCATTATCTCTTTAAAAATTGATGAACGCTGTTTGTGTCACACAGCTGCTTTGATAATTCATTGCATTGGTCAATCCTTGTTATAATAACATCTCTGTGATTGTTGTCGCTATAGATGTATGATTGAATAAAGTTTTTTTAATCTTAGTATAAAAGAAAATATTAAATTAATTTATATGTCTATACCTTAAATACTATAGTTGGACAAATGTCATTATGAACGAAAGTTGTTAGAATAATTTATCGTAATTCAAGGTAACGTGTAGCATAAATACGAGTATAAGCCAATGTTTTCGCCGTAATATCTATGACGAATTAAATTTTTTCAGTGAACTTTGTAGTGACAGTTATTCGTTTATGTATGATCTATCTGCTCACCATTTTTGCAGTTTATTTTAGTTAGAAAGAGTTACAGTTCTTACTTTAAATCTGTATTAGACAATCATGGAGAATATTGGTGATTTAATTTGAGGGTTGCACTAGAATTCTGACGAATATTTTAATCTACATCCATTTCGACTTTAAACCTTCGTTGTGTTCGATCGTAAGGGAAACGAGAGATGTGATACAATAGAATAGCGCAGTTGCCCTTGCAGATGTTGAGAGGGCTGCTCGTGGCGGTGTGGTGGGCGCTAGTGTGCGCCTCCGCGGGCGCTCGGTGGGGGCGCGTCTGGGCGTGGCCCTGGCCCTGGCCCTGGGCGCCCGGCTACTACCTGGCCAGCCCGAGCCCGTCTACTTCGCGGGCTGACGCTGCTCGTGCCACTTGCCTGATGTTTGGTGAACGCGTCAAAAGGTGCATTGGGAATTAAAGTTTAATTGTGAGGCCAATCACTAATAAGCTAAAAGATCTTTATCGAATCCATCAGAACGATTCTCGATTTTATGTCATTTAAAATAAACGAAGAGGTTGTTATAAACTATTACTTAAACTTGGTTTTTAATCTGTTATAGCCTATTCAAAATTTTTTCATTTCCTCCAATATTGGCTTCCAAGAATTCTGAAACTGAATATAGAATGACAAAAATTTTGCACGGGTAAATTGTTAGCTCAGTAAATGAAAGTCGTTATTCCATCGAAATTATATTATTTATTTTAATTACAATCTAAATTAAATAAACCATTTCAGTCATACATATATCAGACACTATGCAACAATTGTAAACGAAATGCACAAAACATATCTACACAAGATTCGAGAGTAATGATTAGTGATGGGTTAGTGGTGCTGATGAGATACGAACGACTACCAATCGCCAGGATTAGCTACGTATGGACGAAGGAACTGTGAGTGCGAAACAAACAAACAAACCTAATCGTTTACTATTAATTTGATTGATAGATATTAATTCATTATAATATATATAAAAATATACAAAAATTACGAGTTATGTATAGGTATGATTATATTAGTTTTGTCTCAAAAAACTCATTACGATCGATCGATCGATGAATAATTGGGGATGCGCCAAAGCGTAAAGTGCTTTCTCTAAATCATTAATTACTTCAGTCATAATTATATGTAATGCGTCACATGATGCATCTAATAATCAACTGTTATGGAATACTGCTCTCTACCATCAAATACGTTTTATAACAAAAAAAAAAAAAGCGGCACCCTAAAAGCTATATAAATAACTTAATCATAGAGTCAAAACTTGAGGTCAATATGATAGTCGCGCTGTTGTTTCGGTCCACGATGACTCTTCTTATCTAATATGGACGATAACGTAGCATCATAATAAATAAGCATTCGGTTTCCAAAATATACAAAAAAAAAACAGCAAGATCCGATGCTTTTTATGTAAACAGTAAACGGTTGCTGAAAAAAATTGTTATATTTCATTACTTTAGAAGATATAGTGTTGTATCAAATGTCGATATTAAATGCATAAAAGACAACTGACAAGTTATCGATACAATTAGGCCCTAGACTGAGCACCGCACCAGTTCGCGCACGACACCTACAATGGCCACAAGCTAACGTTATAGGACGCGCAAAACTTGAAAGCGTCTTCGAAGCACAGTCGGATATAAATATTGTGCATTTGCGACTGACAACGTCACACTACTGGTGTGCGTTGAATGTCAGTGTACGACAGAGAACGCTTTATGAAGAGAAAATTAGCCGGATGTCTCTTTCCAAAGGTCGATGTGCAATATTTATCGTCGAGAACTGTACACAGTTTATGAACATGAGCGCCACAGCTATATGTATCGCCTTCTCTTTCATGAGGCATTCTAAAACGAAAAAACACGTAGAATATACACGTAGAAAACCAGGACAGTGTTCTCAACTGACAACGATATAATTCCGTTTTGGGAACGTGAGACTTTTCTATATATCGAGCCGTTGTGTTAAGCGACAAGTGGTGCATTAAAGTTTTGCGCGATATGTACGTCGTAACGTAAATGCATAATATGCACCAGCAGCCCTGAACGGTAATTGTCGACGCGACGACCGTCGGGCCGCTGGTTGGTTGGCGGGTGCTCCTGCGGCTCGCGCCAGCGGCGGCGCACGGGCTGAGGGCGGCCGAGGGGGGCGCCCTCATCGGGCCTCCTTCGCCGTCAGCTTCTCGATGAGCTCCTGCAGCGGCGCCAGCTCCCGTCGCTCGATCAAATTGAACTCCTGCATCGGACCGAGGTCCATTTTGCCAATTACATTTAGGCCTCATTGAGAACTTTGCAAAGTGCGCTTTGCAATTGTGACTTGAAAAACTGATGTTAATTAGAACGTGTTTAAGAATTTAGCATCTATTTATCTAAACTATAAAATTTCCCCTATTCTCGGTAGATATATTTCTATTAAGTCTATAGAATAAATAAAAAATGTAAGAGAAAAACGTTTTTGTCATCCGCTTTTTTTACTTTTCATCAGGGCCCCAAATTTGTGTGCCCTAGGGCGGCGATATGGCCTAAGACGGCATTGGCCGAAAGAAAGAAATCCCAAAACTGTCGTCCGTGGGAATGTTCGGCACGGGACGTCACCTGCACGAAGAAGATGAAGTGCTTGAAGGAGGTGTTGAGGTGCGCCTCCTCGCCGAGCTGCACCACCTCGGGGAAGTGCTGGTGGTAGATGTGCGCGTACACGCGGAACAGCCGCTTCAGGATCGTCTTCGCCATCGACAGGAAGTTCTTGGGGAACGGGACGCCTGCGAGCGAAATGCCACAAGTGAACGACGCGTGTTGCCCTGAAGCTGTCCAGCGGCGTTAGTACTCGGGCGGGTCGCACCTATTTTGGAGGGGAAGAGCGTCTCGTCGTCGAGCTGGTCCTGCGCCCAGGTCATGAGGTAGTCGATGTACTTGGGCGCGGAGCACTTGATCGGCTTCTTGACCGTGTGCCCGTCCGCCCAGTGGTACTCGTACTTGGGCCCGGCGGACATCACCGCGCACGACTCCTCCGTGCAGAACTCCGTGATGGTGCCGTACAGCATGTTGATCTGGTTGAAGAAGTCCACCGCTGCAACCGTTCAAGAGGGTTCACTTCTGTGCCCCAATTTGCATATCACTTGTGTTGACTTTATGAGGTGAACAAATTATGTAAGGTGACAAACACTTCCCAATTCTCAATACACAAACCAGTACCTACTTTCGAAATAATATTTAAATTTTAATGTAAAATGTTTATTGCTCTGTTTTTGTACTGAAAATAAAACTTATGTAAAATTATTGTCTAGATTTTTATATCACTAATACCAATCAATTAGGGTAGCAAATAACAAAGATAATTATTACTTGTAGATTATATATTTGTGCCATTTGCTGTTGAAACTTTGGGTCTGTGGAGTCCCTGTACATCAAAGTTTTTGAAAGGTTTACGTCCTAGACTTAGCGCCGCAACCGGTGACAAGAGGGCTGGTAATCTTTAAGAAGTTATGCATTATTAAATAAATATATTTTTTATTAAATAAGCAATTATTCATATTTATTGAAAACATTGCCCTTACTTTAGGATAAGATTATCCTGTGTTGCAAGAACCAGATGCAAAACAACTATATGTGGGTCACACCAATAACCTTGACAACAACGCCACGGAGTTATAAACAATTACACATTTACATTATTATTTTGAAAAAATAATGTAATTTTGCACATAATAATTTATTTTTATCGGTAGTATTATTCAGCTAAATATATTTTATTTTCTAATATATACACATATATATATATGTATTTTTTTAACCTTCCTTACAAGTTATCAACATACAATAGTTTTTCTTGATAATTTAACAGTTCTATAACTTAATCAAATTTACTGTAATAAAAACTCATACATAAGATTTCTTAAGTATTTTTTTTATATGGGGAGAACCAACATAAGATTTATTGGCAAACTATGTGAATGCTAAAAAGAAAAAATTAATGAAGTCAACAGTGTGTATTGTTATGATGGATAATATGGATACAACACCATATTTATAAATTACAATACCCTTCAATTGAATATGCATGGCAAAATAAATTAAATATAATTTGACAAACCATATAGTATACTTCATTATTATCATATATTATATATTTTTACTAGTGACCTGCCCCAGTTTTAAACTGTTGCAATGTATAATACTTGTGTGTGAGTCCAACTGTCCATTGCACTTGGCCGGCTTTTACAATAATAAGCATCTAAAAGAGTCAATATTGATAGTTGAAAACATTATTTCAGACACAATATCAGTATTTTCCTGTTGTATTGCTTATAAAAATATTATGGTATTATTATACAGTAGTAGCAGAGATGTCTTATTAATCATTTGCCTATTGTATGAATGTTATTTCAAAACATAAAATGAAATGGTATATTTGCAGTGTTAATATTCTATATCCTGATGAATCATATAATCATTAGTATAAAATACTAACTGTTTACAGCTACCCATTCATTGAGATCTTCTCCCTCTGGTAACATAACAGCAAGACGGAGGTTCCCAGAGCCAAGTGTTGCAGCTGCATGTCGCATGAGATCATACTGATGTGTTCCCTCGGGGATATTCTTTTTTGGTTTGAAAGTTTTATTAGACCGACTTCCACTGTAACAAGTAGTATTTATATATTTATATATATATATATATATATATATATATATATATATAATCCATTTACCAAGAGTACTCAATAACAAATATCAACATTTTGTAAAAAATTCGACATTTAAGGAAATAAATAATTTTTAAGATTGTTGTTCCTTATAATTTTAAATAGCTATAATTGATATAAATAAGTATTTTATTTTATTAGAAATATTGGCATGTCAAAATTCTGTGTAGTTTAGGCTAATCGTCTCAGATCTTTTCAATATACGTTAACAAGGTACTACTGTAGCGGAAGAAAACCAGTTAAAAATAGAATTATTTTGTTCAATACATTTAATTAGTATAACTGTTTTTACTCACAAAAGGAAACTCATTTTGTTCTTAAGCTAATTTCTCTCAATTATCTAAGTAACCGTCCACTAATATTATAGCACCAAATCATTAACAGAGGTTAAATAAAACAATAAAATCTTCAGACATACACTTGTCAAAAGTTTATCACTTTTTTCTGTACTATGTCAATGTCCTGAATAGAGGAAAATGTGCACAGTATAAGCTAAGCCTAGATATAGATAGGTTAACGGCAGTTAAATGAAAAAAAGAAAAAGTTTTCATTAATTAATTAGCTAAAAATAAACTAGTTAATCAATAAAATAAAGTTTGTTTCCTATTATTTTACTTCGTTTTTAAATTTATAGTTTTTCTCTAAAATGTCACTTTAGTATAAGATTAGTAACACAGATATAAAGATTTTGAATATAAAAAATGTTTAACAAATAATTCTTTTTTTAATAACAATTAAATCAAATAAACAATTAAATCTTACCTAAGTACCTAAACTATTTTGTATTTGTAAACTGGCAAACCAAAATCGGATCGAACGTCATTTTTATCGACGATTTTTCTGATTCTGCGTTGCGCTAGAGGAATATTTGCGTATTTTCAGACCAGACAGTCTTTAACAGCAGAAGTAGAAGTCTTATCGTCCCATATATTTAAAAAAGTATTAAAATGCAAGGCTTAAGTCTTCAAAGCTTGAAGAAGCATAAGGCGGTTAGTATATTATTATTTTCAATATTTATTTCCTTGTCACTTCGCTTCTTACATAACTAACCTGCAATATTTATATTACTCCCCTGTTATTTTAAAGCTTAATTTCTTAATATCCGATCCCTTATCATTTTGCTTACAGTTCTTAATCATTCCTACAGATTTCTTCAGGATTAAAACAGAAAAGAGTTATTAATTATATGCTTTATAAAAACGTCCGTAACAATAAAAATCTTGTTCCTCTTACCTTTGTATTTTCACTGCGACATACGATGCTGTAAGCATCGCAAATTTTCCGTTTTCTGAAAAAACTAGACACAAGATATAAATTTTACTGCGACATACGACTCATAATCAATGCAATCTTTCCGTTTTTCTGGAACAATCATTTGACAAAAGATGCGACATTTTACCGTGACCCAAACCATGCCAAATTAGCTGATTCCTGAGGAATGTAATTTTTTTTAAATAAAAAAAATCATGGAAGTTAAAATCATACTGTGGTATATAATATTTTAATTAAAGTGCAATTTAAAATACACACCACAGGGATTGTTTGTTATTTTGCATATATATTCTATTGTTCTTATTGACACAATGTTTAATGGCTATTAATTAATATATTATGTATTTTGTACAGCTGATTCCTCTGTATGTGTGTACGGGAGTAGGATGTTTAGGAGCTATGTTCTATGTCATAAGACTGGCAACACGATCTCCTGATGTTTCCTGGAACAAGAAGACCAACCCTGAACCATGGCAAGAGTACAGGGATAAACAGTACAAGGTATATTTACAATAGATATTTATTTATATGCTAATATTAAGTATCACTGACTCTTCAAATAGTAGTAAAGTAGGCTTTAGTATTTTATATGTTGAGCAAGATAACTCTGGTTGGCACCAGTTCTGTTAGAGTTCAAGAATGTCAGTCCTCCCTTAAATTCATGTAAATCATTTACTTAACCATCCATTGACATAGACAGGAATCTTGACTGTTTAGAAACACAAAATTGGTATCAATATAATATGTTATTTTCATATTACATTGACACCAATAGATTCTATAACTACTTCAGATGAAGTGTTAATAGCGTCTTGGGACTGAAAGCTCAATAAAAAAAAAGATTCTATTATCACGAAACCATTGCAAAAATTTAGCTGTCCATATATCCTTCCAGTAAAATATATTTAAATGGTGCTAGGGCCCCGCAGCAGCCTCAGCTGTTGCACAAATGGGCAGGCTCATCGGGGTAAGTACCACAACCTCACAGAAGACCGGTGTAAAGTGGAAGTATAACACTTTCACGTTTTGTCTGGTGAGTGAGGTGGCCTGAGCCCAATTTTCAAAAGGTTGTCAATGCATCTGGAACCCTCGGGTGTAGCAGATGTCCATTTGTGGCGGTATTCACTTAACATCAGAATACATAAAAATGCTTAAAACAGTTGTAGCATAAAATGAAGCAAAATAACAGCATATATATATGTCCCACTGCTGGGCCTCTTCTATTCAGAAGCTATAAGGGCATAGTCCACTACTAGAGCCCACTGCAGATTGGCATCTTCACATAATTTCTAAAATATATTATTTTTTTATTAATTTGAAAATATATGATTTTTCTTTTATTGCTGAACTCATTAACTCTAAACTTAAAATTAACAATTTCTTTGGTGACAGCACCACAGTATGAACTCAGGTTGCTTGAGTGTGATAGGCTTTTGTGTTAGGGCCACACAACAGTCGTTGTTATTGCACAAGTGGGCATGTTCATCCGGGGAAGTACCACAACCTCACAAAAGACTGGCGTGAACTTCAAGTGTATTACTTCTGCATTTCGTCTGGTGAGGTAAACATGGCCCTATTTATTTAAAGGCAATGCATCTGCAACCCTATGGGTGTTTGATATGTCAAAAAGTAAGGAGTACATAATATAATGAATTAAAAGTTAGCAACTGGACACTGAGCTATCACAGCTCCCACTGTAGCGTCATAAATTAAATTTTAAGAGAATATTCTAATAAAATTTGTATGTTTTAACAGTTCTACTCACCAAACATAGACTACTCCAAGGAACATTCACCTGCTCCTAAGTATTAAGTGTCATCCTATGCTGTTCATGTAAAGTGCAAGAAAACATAGCTTGTTTAATTTAATAAATAGTTTAATGTGAATTATCACCATTGTTTTATTAATAAACATTTCTCTAATACAAATCCAGTATAAGAAAAAAAATACATTTATTTATTTAAGTTAAGGAGTGGTTTCACATCAATTATGATTGGTCTGGTGTATATCAGTTTGTTAAACATTTTTGTGTTTTGTCCATGTTCATACCGAGACCAATTTTCCTAGGAGACATCTAGTTTGATGGGCATTCATTGTAAATCTTGCAGTGACTCCACCATCAAGACTGTGTCATTGGCAAATTGTAAGTGTGAGATGTCTCTACAGTACAGTGTATTACACGCATTTTCAAGGGCATTTGTGTAACAATTTATCAGTTTCCCCTTTGCACTACCTGAGCCACTCCTGCAGTGGTGGGAATAGCGACCTGGTGCAAGTTTGTGCCGTCCTCAATCACAAGAATGTCGTCACCCCTAGAACTGAAGACTTGCAATGCAACACATGCGCCAAGCGTCTTCGATAAGCGTGTGCTATTTTTTTACTGTTATTTGATTCAGTACCTTTGTAGCACATTCGATCAACATCATCAGATTTTTAGTTTGTAAAGTTTAAATTTGTCTTGCATATGATCTCATCTATATATGATATTTATTGCAATGTTAGTCTTAAAAATGCCTGCCTCTAAGAAGATGATGTATCCTGGAATTGTTTGTCTTATGGCCCGTTTCAATATTCAACTTACAAATAGATTTGGCTAATCGAGATAGAATTTTGACGTAAGTATTTTGGAGCTAAGGTCAAATACCTATCGCTAGTAATAAAAAAATATATCTGTTGATAGAATATTGAAACCGGCCGTTAAACAGTTCTAAAAAATCCCCAAATGCATAAATATATCTACATTACTTGTGGAAGCCAATATAATATACGTTATAGTGCTCTGGTATTCAGGACTGCAAGTATTAAGTAACATAGTTCCTTGACTTGTAATATAGTTCCACGAAAATACACAAGGCATGAGCTGTATTTTTATATGAAGCATGGCAAAAAGTTCAACCATTGAAAAGAAACTTGAAGATGAAATTCACAAAGAAGCATTATTTTGTAGACTAGTTTTTCGGAGATTATTTATTGCAAACGCACCGACTAAAATATCAACCTCTTTTATCTACAACAGTTTTTTTCACATTTTAAGGAATGCTTGGTGCATATGTTGTTATATCTTTTATAGCATACAACAATTTTGAATGTTGTTTTACAATGAACTTCGAACGAGAGATTAAAATATTTTATATAAATTATATTGCTAATCTCGGTGCACTTAAGAAATAGGACGAAAAGTTTCTGGCCGCTGCGGAAATCGAACCCACGTCTTCGAGATTTTCTCTACAAATGTCTCATCTGTATAAACATGTCATATTGTTATGTGCATCGGTGGTTTATTTATTCCCATTTTCCTTCATTAAATACATAGGGATTCTACACCTCTTATAGACGACGTATAAGACTTATTCTAGTAGGAATAAGTTCAATCACTGTATTATTTTTTTATCCCTAGCTATAAATTTGAGGACCAATCGGTCAATATAATTTCAAGCTACGCAGAAAGAGCGAGTGGGGGGGCGCTTTTTTGGGTTCCGTACCCAAAGGTAAAACTGGATCCTATTACTAAGACTCCGATGTCTGTCCGTATGTCACCAGGCTGTATCTCATGAACCGTGATAGAGTTGAAATTTTCGTAGATGATGTATTTCTGATGCCGCTATAACAACAAATATAAAAAAACAGAATAAAAAAATATTAAATTCGGGCTCCAATACAACATATATTTTTTTTTGTTGCTATTTTTATAGATATACGGAACCCCTCGTATCTGAGTCCGACTCGCACTTGGTCGGTTTTTCTCTATGCACCGAGACCCTAATATTAATTAATAATTCTGGCTTAACCACTATGGGTAAATTTTTGTAAATGGTAAATGGACTATGGTCTGTTGGATGGTGTTGCAAGGGAGGATAATCGTCCGTTGCCGGAATAATAGTTTTTACACTCAATTCAATAATAGTATATTGATTACACCAAAGATAGACACATAGAAAAATAGAAGGCGATAAACGAGAAAAGCACAGCACAGTAGAAGTTTATAGCGGAAAGACACGTATATGTATAGTTCAAGAAGCAATATTCATTTTGGTAAACCCCATTCACTCAATAAAGGAACGTATATTATTATGTTTATTATTTTAAAACAATTAATCAAAAATGATTGAAATTTGTGTAAGTAACGTTAAAATAGTAGCCTAAAAAAGTAAATAAAAAACTGTATGCATCGTCGCCAGCCAGTCTGGTCACATTAACATGTCGGTGATGCGAAACCATAAGTTTTTCCCCCAAAGAAAATGTAATCACTACGTTTACGTGTTTCCTCCTACCAAAAGTCGCTCAACGCGTATAAACAAGTTGTCCCTTCATTAAACTAACAGCAGTTTTCACATACAGCCCAGCTAATAAAATAATCGAATAGTAATCTGTAGTAGAACATGCAAAAATCGGGAATACAAATGATATATATTTGAATTAAATCTAATATAAAAAATTCTCGTGTCACGGTGTTTGTAATTGAACTCCTCCGAAACGGCTTGACCGCTTTTCGTGAAATTTTGTGTGCATATCGGCCAGGGTGGAGAATCGGACAACATATGGCAGAACGTTTGCCGGGCTAGTCACCAATAATTACAAAAATCTATATTTTTTTAGTCTACCCAAGCCTTTTTTAGTCTTCAGGATGAGGGCAGTGAAAAAAATATCGATATCTAGTTAAGTATCAATATCGATATTTATTTAACGAGGAAAAGAAAGTAAAGTAACAGCTATAGGCTGTTACTTTAGGCATCTCTCACTTCTGGGCAAAGGCCTCCTCTACACAGAGGGTGTCAGGGCATAGTCCGGCACGCGGCCTCACTGCGGATTGGAGGACTTCACATATCTTGGAAATATTTTTTCTTATTGGGAAAAAGCAGCAAACGAGCAGGAGGCTCACCCGATGGTAAGTGATCAGCGCTGCCCATGGACATCTGCAACACCCGAAGGCTTACAAATGCGTTGCCGGGCTTTCAGAAAAGAGTACGCTCTCTTCTTGAAGGTTCCCGGGTCGTAATGGTTTGGAAAGACCGCCGGCGGCAGCTGGTTCCACAGAGTGGTTGTGCGAAGCAGGAAATACCTTGAAAATCAGGCTGTTAAGGAACGCTGAACATCGAGGTGGTGTGGATGAAATTTTTTATTTTGGCGCGACGTCCGATGGTGAAATTCGGCCTTCAGGATCAATTCAAACAATTCCTCGGAACATCCCCTCCCCGTGATAAATGCGGTAGAAGATGCAGAGTGATCCAACATCTCTACGCAGAGCCAAAGGATCCAGCCGATCGGAAAGACTTTGATTGTCGATAACCCTAGCCGCCCTACGTTGAATGCGGTCAAATGGAAGAAGCTGGTAATGAGGGGCTCCCGCCCAAAGATGAGAACAGTACTCCATGTGGGGCTGAATTTGCGCCTTATAGAGTTTTAAGCGTTGAGCCGCCGTGAATTACTGTCTCGCCTTGCTGAGCTCACCAAGCTTCTTTGACGCCAATTTGGCCTTACCTTCCAATAGACCGCGGAACTGGACGTTAATCGAGATTCCGACGCTAACCCAACCCATAAAATTCACTAGAATTATATCGTAATATAAATATTATAATATAAATATTAGTAATAGACCACAGTTTTTTCCTTCCATTTTTATCTTTAAGGCTTTGAATCAGTTTGAATAAAAATATCGGTTTTGATACGATTTCGACATTCAATTTTTTATATCGATGTATCGGATCAAAATATATCGGCCAAAAATATCGATACATTTAAAAAAATATATCGATATATCTATATTTTTTCGGCATCCCTATATTTAATAAATTCTTGTCCAAAGAGAATGTAATCACTGCGTTTAAGAGACGGGACTTCCATACTAGCCAAAAATATCAGTTTACGCGGCACTCCAATACCAACCATACTACAAAAATACCACAAAGATGTCAAACAACAGGAGTACCAACGTAACGAGACAAATAGTGCTTAACCAAGCTAGCTTAGCTTCTTATCGATATCGATAAAATATACTAGGTAGAAAGCGAGGCTTCCACTTAATATTTTTTTTATTAATTTTAGGTAAGTATCGAGTCCGTATTTATGTCCAATGTTGATGAGGGGATATTTGGTACTAATACAAAATTGGACTTAAATGCGCACCCGAAATAAGATAAAAAACGGTTTCTGATAATTCAAATAAAATTTTATTACTGAAATGAAATTTATTTATTGTCTCTTGATTCTTCAGTCAACAGCTGTTGTCCTGCTGTACACGAGTCTGGAAATAATTGAAACATAAAAATAGAATCAAAATCCAAAAGTTATTTTAGTTTTCTTGCATACTCAGCGCACGAAATTAATTATATGACGTATCAATATTACAGAGATTATGTTTCAAAATCCTGCAAAATTCACCTATTCCGATCCTTGATCATTTATGTAGGCACACCATTCAAATATGTAAAACTTTGTGTCCCTACTCTTTCACGCAACATTTTATATCTTACTTTTTTTCAATGATAAACATAAACGTAGTTATCGATATGTGGATATTACAGTTGCAGCACATCACTAGCACACAATTTAAATGAGATAAATTTGTTAATTTTATTTGTTCTTAGCCTGCTCTACTTACATATGGCTGCAAAGTATCATATTTAAGTGCTTACATGGGCTTCATCTAAGGGAAATCTCGCCATAAACATCCTTTTTTCAAGGTTCGATTGACTTGCTCGATTTTCAGCAATTTCAAACGTAATAAACAGTCTTTTTGGCATTTTGAATTAAAGTACAACTCTGATCCCTGTCACTAGTTTTCGTGAGAAAGTTTACTCTAAACAATTTAAATTTACAATGAAATAAGCATTTACATTCAAAATACGCGGTGCAAAATAAAGTTTTGACAAACAACATGGCACTTCTTGTATTGCAAGAAAGAGAAATCGCATTGAGGGAGAGTGATAGCAATGTCCGCCATTATTTGCCGCGTAAAGTCCATAGAAACATTTTTTTGTTCCTAGTTTCGCCAGACTGTTCGTCTGTCGTCGCCGGTCGCGTTGGAATGTGCGAATTTGAATCTTTTAAATTAGTGAAAATTTCGTTACGTCTATTTATTGCTGTGTTTTGATTTAACTTATAAGTATATAATCAAATGAATAACAGTTTTTATAATATTATATAAAGTGCAATTTTTACATACTTAAGTGTTTCATCAAATATTAGTCGATTTGCAATTTGTAGTGCTAATCATGTGAAGCAGACTACCTATCTACCTGAGTTTTAGTATTATTTGTTTAACCGTTGTAAAATGGATTCCGGTATAGGAAAAGATTGGAAGAAAAAAGTAGGATTCCCCATTAACTACGATTCTGGCCAAAGTTCGGAAGAGGATTTGTAAGTTTACAACATTATATATTAGCTTCAATATTTATTTATTACAAACTGATAGGTTAGATAGGAGCTGCGAAGAGGAGAAGTCTAGATTGTTTTTCTCATAATGTTATTAATATCATCATTGCAGACTGTTTCAATCAAAGTTCGAAAATTTGATTACGGGTATCATTTTGAAATTTCGTAGGGAGGCTAGGAAGGGGGATGATATGTTGTGTCACCCCCCACTGCCCCCCCCCCCCCCTCCGCCGGAGACGCATAGTTTTTTTATTATACAACTATTAATTTTCTTTATTTAATAGAATCTAATAAGAATGTCAGGGGGGAGGGTTCCCCCCCCGCCTGTTGTCCTTAACCAGACATAATAACAGAAGAGCTAATGGGTGTTTATAAAAAAATAAACCACAAAAGGTGAACCTTCTCACCTAATCTGTCCGAGTTGGATTGCTTTGTGACAGATCTGAGACTCATTAAATTTAAAAAAAAATGTGATCGAACAAACAATACAAGTATGAAGTTGCCCGCTTCCTATATTTATGCGGGCAGTACTGTGTATTCAGTTTTATTATAAATAAAATGTGCATACTTAGTGAAAATGACAAGTTTAAAATTTTTTTTTCTCGTAAACTGAATGCGGCCGGAGAATAATGCTTATTGATTTATTCATTAGTGACTTTTCTCTATAATAAAATAAAATAGGTAATTAAATTTTTTTCGCGTCTCCGGCAGGGTCCTTGGTACAAACCTTCTCGGGTGACTTGATTCAAAACCCAACCCTTGATTATTGTTACTTCGTAGTTATGGTTGCAGTTTCTGTATGGTTTAAAAATATTGGAATACGAAAAATATGCATGCCCATAGTGTATACAATTACCTACATACACTTATTTTGTTACAGAATTTTTGCTTTTCTTTTTCGAGTAATTAAATGAACATTAAGTTATCAGTCAATCACCTTATTGTCAAAACAGCAATCACTCTATATCAAATACCAGTGAAGCCAGGGCCGGGCTTCACACGGATGCAATGTGTTATACAACCTAAACCTTCCTCTTGAATCACTATCTAGTAAAAAATACAGCATCAAGATTTGTTGCATAGTTTTAAAGATCTAAGCATACATGGGTAGAGACAGAAAGTGGGACAACTTTGTTTTGTACTATGTAGTCAAATATTATATGAAATTCTTCTGATTGTTTGCTTCCACTTTGCTCCCTCTTGGGCATTGTCTTTATTTAATCTGCAGCTATTCAGGCCTTTTTTTACAACTTTGAGTTCTGGCACCTTGGGTCTTTCCCTTTGCAGATGATCAGGAAAAGAAAGAACAAGATCCCTGTTCTTGACATATTTCTAAGTCCAAATGAATGAAGCAGAGCTCTCTCCAAGAGCTTCTTCCATGAATATATTCATTGTGAATCCTAAGGCTCTTGGAAACACCAGATATTCATTTTTGAATGTTCATTTCAGCCTCCTAGATATCTTGAAGACATGAAATAATTGATCCTACCCACAAGCGGATTGCGTAGAATAAGTAAATCTATTATGGGATGTGTATACTTTTCTACAACAAAATCCCAGAAAATGTTCAAAATGAATCAGTTATATTGTATTTATAATAAATTTATGTTACACCATGTGTAAACATACTACATTCGTAAATATACGTTCTTCTCAATACAGTGGCATTCTTTTCTGAACGCGCGTTAGTATTTTGACTATCAATAAGTGTGTGTATTTGAATTTGAAAAAGGGTGGGGCTTATGAACATGCCTTTACTAATAAAAACACGGTGGAGGATATTGTCTGAAAAACAAAAATTCTATTGATTCATAGACATAAAATATTGAAATTGATTTGAGGCTGTTAATGAAATAATAATTTGCATTTGTTTTTTATTTCGCTTAGAGTGTTAACGTTATCAGAGCAGCTATCAACATGGCATATTGTACGCTATGAAGTGTCGGCCATGCAACAAGGGCTATGATAGCAGCGCTAATCACGTTGCTCGGCTATCGGCTCTCGAGTTAATACACCTCATTACATCTACAATTAGCGTGAATATCGATGTTTTATTAGTGTTTAGGATGGTGGCGCAAACTATCGTTGGTGCAAGTTATCTTTATTGACGAGATTTTACTCTATGGGAACAATGCATTCAGTGATATAAGGATCATTCGTCATGTTATTATGAGCCGATTTCGAAGTAAAGATAATATGCAACAGTTACTTATGAAGATATGGCAACCTTAAATACTATTTTAATATTGGTAAATGTAAATAACTTTAACTCCGGCGTAATTCAAATCAAATAAATTTTAAACGATAGAGAAAACTCACTTATGAATTTATCAACAAGCAGAATTTGGCGGTCGCTTATAGTTTTCGAAAAAATAAATAATGAAATAGTGTGATTTTTACTATAGAAATCCGCCATTTTTTGTTGTCAATTCAGCTCGTATTTCTTGGTGGTAATAAAAAAAAAACCTAACATCGAACCTAATCTATCCGAGTCGGATTCGCTCTGTGTCGGTTCTGTGACTCATTAAATTTAAAAAATCGGAATATCGATACGTGTATGATGTCGCCCGCTTCCTATATTTATCATGTTGGCAGAACTTTTAATTCATTAGAGATTTATCTCTATCGTTTAAAATTTATTTGATTTGAATTACGCCGGAGTTAAAGTTATTTACCTTTACCAAACTTACCAACTGGAGGTAAAAAACAATATTTAATAGAGCAGCAGCTCAGACCAGCTTGCCAGCCACCTATGCCTTCAGCATCCACCTGTGATATTCGAAAAACCATACTTAGAAACACGAGACAATGAATTCTCAACCTACCTTCATGTGAGATTTCTAAATACATTCACAATGCAAGTCTTTTACAATTTTAGTAGGAAACCAGTGAAAATAACAAAGGATCTTACCACGAGGGATAACAAATCCAGCACAGAGTTTCCCAGACAGCAATCACAAATAATACGACCAGGAACGTGTTCTGATTTCAACCTCTAGCCATGCACTGTAAAAAGCGAATTGATAAGAAAACGAAATACGTAAACAAAACAACCACTGGCATGAACAAAACCAAGCAACTACTTACCAGTCGAAGATAATGGATCCACAAAAACTAATTTATCCAATGTCAATTCGAACCGGCGGCAATCTCAAACGACAAGTACGACCAAATGAAGTTAACTTTTACATTCGTCCTTTCGAACAGGCAAAGGTTCATATGACATGCAGCCTAGTCTTTAGAAAAACGACAATTTAGACAAAGTGATGAAATCACACGTTACAACTATAAACGACCGCCGAATTCTACTTGTTGATTAATTCATTAGAGATTTATCTCTATCGTTTAAAATTTATTTTAATTGAATTACGCCCGAGTTAAAGTTATTTACATTTACCGTAAGTTTTTCACATCATATAATTGTAGGTGGATTCAAATCCCTGCCTTTGTTAGTTCTACAATTTAGTGTTTGTTGGCAGGAGGTCTCCTATATACCCCCAACAGTGTGGCTGTACACACTACACTTGGCCTGACTTTCTCTACTGGTTCTGAGCTCAACGCTGACCTGTGCATACAGGGCAGATGTCTCTGCGGTGACATAGATTTTAAATAACTACCTGATTGGACTTTATTTTTTTAATTGAATTGCATAACTTTCATAATCTTAAATTAATTTAATTATCTAACCTTTTTATGGTCGCACAAAGTAATGTGTAGGTCCTATGTACTCACGACTCCCTGAGATACTTGATTGTATTTATTACAACAGTCTGTTCCTAACAGACAAGGCGCCCAACTCATTATTATTACTATATTTTAAAATATATTGTATCTGAGCTAGTCCAGGGATTGTAACATTAAACTGAAGGGATGAATACAACTTCTTAACTGCTAATAAATCTTTTATTAAATCTTCCCATCATTATCTAGACACCCACTATAAAAACGTTACATAGTTTTCGAGAAAAAAATATTTAAAACTTGTTTTTTGTACTAAGAAATCCACCATATTATTTGTTTGACTTCAAAAACTCAATACACAGTTCTGCCAACATGATAAATATAGGAAGCGGGCGACATCATACACGTATCGATATTCCGATTTTTTTTTAATTTAATGAGTCACAGAACCGACACAGAGCGAATCCGACTCGGATAGATTAGGTTAGAAGGCTCAGGCGGGAGCTCCGCTCCCGCCTTAACCTTCGATGTTAGGTTTTTTTTTATGACCACCAAGAAATACGAGCTGAATTGATATATTGACAATAAAAAATGGCGGATTTCTATAATAAAAATCACACTATTTCATTATTTATTTTTTCGAAAACTATAAGCGACGAAGAGCCGAATTCTGCTTGTTGATGAATTCATAAGTGATTTTTCTCTATCGTTTAAAATTTATTTGATTTGAATTACGCCGGAGTTAAAGTTATTTACATTTACCCTAACCGCTAACGAGTCTACGTTAACTAAGAAGTTAACGTAGGCACATCCACACGGCGTGTTCATTGCGAAAAACTTGTTAATTGGTAACGCGAACAGAGCGTCTCCCCCTGTTCCCTTCTGTGTTGAGCGCAAACTTAATCTGCGGTATATATACCCCGTCTGAAAATTTCTGTATAACCTTTGTACAGACATCAAAAATGTTTTAAACATACATGTAGTTTTATCTATACATATTCATATGTTGCTTTTAGAAATGGGTTGCTTCGGTGGGCATCTTCACTACTAGCTCCGTTATCAGAAACATTACGTATGGAGATTGGAAGTGATATCGGCCGATGGCTATTATTGGAATGGAATTCTTGCACGCTGACAAGTGACGGGCTCGTATAATCGCGGTCTTATCCGCCGCGGCTATTCGGCTCTCATGTAATGCGTTGCAGAAAGTACTTAAATCCGTAGAAAATTGAACTGTCTCCAAATAACTGCTAAATTACATTTCAAACATCTCATTTATTACATCACTCAAGCTTTGATTTATAAATGAAAGCATGATTTTATCAATTCAAGGATTTTGTTTACTTTCCTACCTTTTTTACGTTATTAAAAATGCCTGCAAATGTTTCACTAAAAATTTCTCAATTATAAACATAACATTGATTCATGTCATAGTATTATAGAGTTAGAGTTATTTATATTTGTTCCAAATTGTGACGAGGAGATGAGATAAATACTACGCTACTATTATATATTATTAAAGATATTCACATGACAGTGTGCGTTCGCTAGCTACTTGCGATGAACTGAACTGCGCTGCACAATGTAAGGCGCATGGGGCGTTCGACTAATATATCATATTACATTGTGTCGCCACAGTATAATAATTAAAAGGAAATGTTAATACAATAAAACGAACATTAATATATAAAAGAGAGGACACAGAACCCTCAGCGGGGGAGACTTTGAGGTCGAGGCCAGTGTAACGTTACAAATATTTATTGTTTTGTATTTCCCGTGGTGAATGGATCTCACAAATCTTGGCACCGCCACTGCGACTACGGTGTTATCGAATGTTCACCGGTGACGTTGTTGACAAACCGTACCGACTTGTAGGCGACGGCGAAGGTCTCCCGGTGAAAAAATGTTATGGTTGTCGTGGGACAACCAGATAATTATGCCAATAGTATTTTTTGTGTGAGAAGGTGGCAAGCGAGCTGTCTATTCACCTGACGTTAAGTGATAAGCGCCGCCCATGGTCATTTGCAACACCCGTATGGTTGCATATGCGTTGCCACCTTTTGATAAAGAGTCCTCCGGTTACCTCGCTCAGCTGACGAAACGCAGAAGTATAACATTTCCAAATCTCGCCGGTCTTCTATGGCATCGTGGTACTTCCCCGGACGGACTTTCCCATTCGTACAACAATACCGTTGCGTGGCCCTACCACAGTTAACATTAGTCCCTTTGGTCTTTAAAAACAATGTAGGTCGTGCCCTTTGTATCGAGCTCTTTGAAGTGTATGGATGACTTATTTATATTATATATGATGACTTATTTTATAAAGTAAGTAGGTGCTTGTTGAGACATTTATCGGGGTCCGTTGAAAAGCGGCTGCCGTTATCACCGCGCGTTGCCTTATCTCCATGGTTCTAGCGTGGGGATCACGCGGTTACTCACGTTCCACTCTTAAAATCAACCATCACCACTTTTTTAACACGAAGGAGGCAAAAAAGTGTTTGATTTAATAACAAACTCATATGGGTAGAATACCAGAAGACCCCGGAGGGCTCACTGCTCCTAAATACAGATTAGGCCCGAGAAGACCGTCGGAGTTGAGATTGCAATATTTCGTTTTGTCAGAATTTTAACATCGCTCGAAAAAATTTAACACTCAATAAAAAAAAAAAACATGTAAAATGCGCTTGCTTCTCGTACAACTTTTAGATTTTAATTAACACACTGGTTCAGTGAACAAGGAACATTTTCGCGTTAACACTATTACAGAACCATAATGACTGGAAGCAAAAACATTTGAAAAAAAAAAAAAACAAAAGCAAAAACATTTGAAAAAAAAAACAAAAGCAAAAACAAAACAAAGCAAAACCAAATCACAATTTCATTGCAAAGTTTCATTGCGAGTTACATCGCAAGTCTAAAGTTCACTTCCATTATTGAGCGTTCCTGCCCAACTAGGTCACCGGTCGCGGGTCGTCTGTGGTGTTTTTTTAAATTGTTAATTTATTTTTTTTTATATAGAGCAAGGGATTTATCCGTTGTTATATATTCGGCATGCCTGCTCGATGTGTTATAAGTCATAGTTAGTATCTTAATATCTATAGCGAATGCTATCAATTCCACACCGCCTATATGGTTTCAAGTCATTGTAATTCGACCGTGTATATGTATATTCGTGGGTATGCCCCGCATTCGCAGTGCCTAGTGCCTTGCGGTCAAATACTTGCGAAGCAATGTCACTACGCATTGCAGGCTTTTTCAAATTTAAAAAAATAAAGTTATAAAGTCATAATTTTTTTTAATGAAATTAGAAAGAATTATAGTGCATTTCCCATTGATCTTCTTTATCTGAGAAGGTGACAAGCGAGCAAGTTTGGCCTAAGTAATAAGTACCGGTCATGATCATCTTAAACACCCATGGAATTGTAGTTGCATTGTCAACCTTAACTTAATTGCACTATCGAAAACCAAAACGCAACTCGCAATTTACGAAGGTCTTCTTTTAGATAATTAGTCATAAATACATAGTATAAAACAAAGTCGTCCCGCTGTCTGTCTGTCCTTATAACATATATGCTTAGATCTTTAAAACTACGCAACGGATTTTGATGCGGTTTTCTTTAATAGATAGAGTGATTCAAGAGGAAAGCTTATATGAATTTTAAAGTTTTTATAGCACTCTCTCGCCCGGTTTCTGAAACACTGATCATTGTAGATATCAACTAATCAGCTGTTAAAAAGGCTTTTCAAATTTCATTTTAGTTGCCATAAGGATGGCTAAACTCTCTGAATTGACCAGAATGATCTTCTTAATGATCAAGTCAAAGAGTTTAACGATCCTTTTGGTAACTCAAATACCATTTGAAAATCCATTTGACAGCTGATTAGGTGACATCTACGATGCTCAGTATTTCAGAAACCGGGCGTCTATCTCTGCACTTAAGATTAAAGCAAGTATTGCTTCAAATGCTAAAAAACAATGTAGATAAAAGAGGTTAAGATTTTCGTCGGTGTGGCAATCAGCCGTTTAGCTCAGTGGCTAAAGCGCCAGGACGCGAAACCCTAAGACGTGGTTTATATGTATAATTCATGCATAATATAGTAGAGAAACACTGATAATTTCTCATGCGATGTCGACAACAAACATTCAGCATTGCATCCGCGCGAAGCCGGGGCGGGTCGCTATTGATATACAATGCGTTGCCGGCGGGTTTACTTATGAATAAAAAAAAATAAAAAAATATACTTAAAATTCCGCCCACCAAAACAACTGTTTTCTACAAACATGAATAAGCAAAAAAAAAAGCAATAATTATTTAAATGACAATACAATCTGTATACTATGATTTCAGTCTATCATAAAACTATAATAATTGTTAATTACCTTCTAATTTTATCGTTATCTTAACATCATAACTGGATATAATTCTAACTGTAATTCAACCCTTATACAAACTATGTAACTTTTACAATTTAACAGAAAGACAAGTAAATTTGTATACAGATTATTGCACATTTTATTTTATAGCCTTCAAATCAGGATGGATAATGAACAATGAAATCTTACTTAATTTACTCTTACACAAACCAAAGTTATAGATAGATACATTGGTCTTATAGCATAGCCAATAATTTGATATAATATATTATTACAGAATTGAACATATCTACCAATAGCCTGGTTCATAATTTAAATTGTTAATGTCATAAATTAAGTAATACTAAATAAATATCAATGCTAAAGTGAACATAATCTCATGATTTTCAAGACCTTCAATGGACTGTATTCTAAGTTGATTTTATGCTTTATTGATTAACCTTATTTTTATATTTTTTTTTCAAAAATGCCACAATGTAATACTTTAATAAACTGAAGAAATTTCTTAAAGACATTATGCTTAATGTAGTAATCTAATTAAATTAATGTTTAACTATTGGTACCAATGGGTAACAACATGAAGTTATGTTACTAACCCCCCACCATGATATAATTAATATGATTTTTTTGGCCAAATTATAAGTTCTGATAAAGCTTGAATGAAAAGAATAACATGATTACCCTTGAACTGCACAGACAGCACGCACCAGATTATCAGGGCCAGGATGTAACTGATTTACCCTTCCCAATAACCATTTTGCCGGAGGCAGATCCTCTTCCTTTATGACAACAATGTCTGCAATGCTGGGGGGCGATAGCGTCGTTTGCCATTTATATTATATTTGTTGCAATGTATTGAGAGCTTCCAAAAGTTTTGAATAATTTTTGATGGCATCCAAAAAATGGTAAATTGAGAGTGAACGCGTCAAATATATTATGCGTACACGTGCGCGGTAATAGGTACGGTATGAGCGTTGTTCTGATTCTGATAGTCGCGACGTCGCGTTGTGCGCAGCGATGGCGATGGTGGTGGCGGTGGCGTGGCGTGGTGGTGCGGAACCCGCGCCGCTCCGCGGGCCGGCTGCTGGCGGACGCGGGCGACGGCGCCGAGGCGGACCTGCTCGGCACCACGCCGCCCAGGGCGCGCATACGCGACAAGGAGAAGCGCAGGTGCCCACCACATGCCCACCACATGCCCACCACATTGCCCTCCACTGCCTAGAGCCCAGCGCTCCGACGATAACGTTGGACGGTGAAACTTCTGCGTTGCGTCTGGTGACCGAGGTAGCCGGGGCCCACTTTATTTAAAGATGGCAACGCATCTGTAACCGTACGGGTGTTGCAAATGTCAATGGGTGGCGGTTATCACTTAGCTTCATGTGGACCGCCTGCTCGATTGCCACCTTCTGACATAAAAAAAAGTATGCATTTTGTTCGACAGCAGCTGTAATCGTATATTAATATGTTTGGCAAAAACTTTGTACCTGTTTTTATTACGAAAATTGAGCGGATGGAGAGGAGTATGAAATTTCCCACACTTATCGTTTATATAGAGAAGAAGTGCAGAATCCTAATATTTTTTAAATTATGCATAAAAATACATTAAATCAATAAAAAAACATTACACACATTACCATGTATAATTAATTATGGACTACTAGTTATAATGATGTCTCGCATGGCCGTGTCCTAGGCGACATTTTGTCCGTTTAATTTCAACATAGTTGTTCGTCATTCATAATTTAGGCAGAATAATAACGGAACAACATGAAAAAAGTATGAATCACGGCTCGATATCGCTTGGCCTAAGCGTTAAAAAGCTCTCGAATATGTCGTTATCTGTGTACATTGGCGTATCGCACTTGTTACCCGTAAATCGGGGTTGCAAACGTTATCGTACGCGATATGCGAGATGTCGACTCTCCGCTAATTGCCGTCTAATCGCGCTTGTGTCCATCCCGCCTACAAGCGGCACTTTTCGCCGCCCAGTGAGGTACTATTATAATCATCATACGCGGTCTGATAGCTCAGCAACATTTTACTCGCGACTGTTTCATTTATCAGTTGTTTTCCATTCATAAATAAAAATTGCTGGGGAGTCCTTCTCAATTTAAATTTCTATGTTTCGCCAAGAATTAGAAAGACAAACAACTGAAGTATCTAAGCTATAGCCTATAAAAATATCTTTTAAAGTGATTTATTTGGCTGTGCCACGCATGTGCAAGTAGTTAAATGTTACCGAAGGCCAATCTTAAATGTGCCCACCGGCTTAACCTCTGCTCGTGATATAAGCTATAATGGCAATAAATGTTTTGATAATGAGGCACTCAATTCTGATTTCAATGTCGCTTTGCAAACGGATCAAATTGAAAATAATTTTAATTCTATAACTTTATTGTTCGACTGTATATTAATGAGCAGCTGATGTCCAGCTCTATCAATAATAGTTGGCGATAATAATGTGCTTTACTCGGAAATCATTTCTGTAATCGGTCGTGTTAAGTGCACCCACAACCTTACTGAAGTACCTTACGGTACTTGTTATTGTTGGGCATGCGGCTACGCCGAGCCAGTTTCGAAAAAAATAATTGTCGGCTCTCGTGAACACGTTTCTGACAACTTACGTCTGCGATTAATGTAAATGTAAATATATTATATATTTACGTAAATATGATATATAGTTTATATATTGCAAAAATTCCATTTGCGTAATATAATACGTGGAACAGGATATATTAGCTTATCTCTAGATAGTCGTTCTTGTGAGCGCCTTGTGAATGTAATAGTGAATGTACAGCGCTATCAGAGTTTAAATCCACTGCTTATATTGTAAGTTATAATATAACAAATTAAGACTTTAATTGTTTGCTATATGATAACTTAAATTGTATTGTTATGATTTGTGAAATGTATGTTAAGTATCGTTCGCAGGCCGATCTACCGGAGCAACACGGACGTGGAGGCCAGCCTGCAGAGGGCGCGCGGCGAGAGCGCCGCCGAGCTGCAGCCGCCGCCAGGTACACTCCGCCCCTCTTTATTCTGCACATTCTGCACATACCAATTTTATGTGAGAACTTGTCTAGCGAGCAGGCGGTTCGCCTGATGTTAAGTGACATTCGCCACACCTCTGGCCTTGGAGACGCGTTGAAAACTTTTTTAAATAGGGAGCCCGTTTACCTCACTCACCAGACGATAATACTTAACTGGTGTAAAGAGAATATACAATAGTATAATTAAATCTACTCTCTCTAATCTTTTCATGCCGGTCTTCTGTGAGGCGGTGGTTCTGCGGATGAGCCTGTCCATTTGTGCAACAGTAGAAGCTACTGTGTGGCCCTACCACAGTTAAATGTGGTAGCGACTTCCTATGCTACTTAATGAATAGTCTTTCATTAGGAACCTATCTGTTTGTAGGCTTATGACGGACGTTTTAACGTCATCACGTTTACTAATGTGCTGTGTTCTGCCCAAGCAGGGCGCTTTTTACTAGTTTATGTTACTTTATAAAAAGGAGTAAATTAACAGCCTCCACTCTACGCAAGGTATTAGAGCATAGTCCATAGTCCGATTGCGGACTCCCGACGATTCGCGAATATTTTAAAGACCTGACCAAACGGTTCTTCGATAGAGCCGAACATCATCCCAACCCTATGGTGGTAAGCGCAGCAAATTACCAACCCGACACAAACGCGAACGTCAACAAGCGTCGCCCGCGAAACGTCCTCATCGACCCGGTCGAGGAAGGGGACTTAGATACGCCGGACCCACCGCCGGGGGTCCCGCCGGATAACACTACACCCACAGTTAGTGCAACAACAAACACACTAGTTGCCCGCGCCTCCGAGCACGGCGAGACCAACACAACGCGTACACAAGGTACACCCGCGTTCCAGGGCGGTTCTCACCGCCCCCAGCCACCGATTAGCTAAAAACCACAGTCGACGGCCATCGGGTCTCGATCCGCACCGCTACTTCGATGGCCCTTAGATGACATCCGTAGTTAAACGCACGCATGAGCACATGCGCGGCCCTACCCACAGCGGAGGGCCCAAACCCGTGGGTTCTGGCTAGCCCACCGGTTCTGCGTCAGATGAAGCTTTAATAGTCTGGGGACTGAAAGCAAAAACATCAGTTAATACAAGAAGCATAGTCCACCACGCGACCCCACTGCGGATCACCAGACTTCTCGTATATTTTAAATATATATTTTTTGTTATTATTTCGAAAATATGCCGGTTTCCTCAAGATGTTTCCTTCATCGCCGAGCAGTCAGCACTTAGTTATAATTAAAAATTTCATTTGTGCCGCCAGCATCGGGAATCGAAATCAGGTTGCTCGAATATATTTAATTAAATGCGAGTGCCTCATTAAGACATTAAAATATCTTCACAGCATTGTTGGGTCTAACCGTATCAAGCTTAGTTCAGGGGCCAGGTAGATTATGACGATTAATAAGTGCTAGAAACACGAAGACCTTGAACGGAGCCAATTTTTCGTGCACGAGGTATTCTAAATGAAGTATGTCTGAAACGCTCAGCTTAGACGCTTAAAATAAACGCCCGAAACACCAAGCTCGTTAGTCCACGGCACACGGCCCACGGCCCACGGCCCACGGCCCACGGCCGCCACGTAACACATGCGACGTGTCCAAAAGGCGTGACTGCACTCAATGGACAACTCTTCAAAGGTGACAATTCGCGCACTGCTCAGGGTCGCTCGTTGCTCGCTTTGTTTCCTTTTCTTGCATAGCGGTAGCTATGTCAATTGTTACGGCGCTTAGGAACTGGCTTGTTGTTGTAGCAAGTCGCTTCGAGACGGACGCCGAACGTATACTATGAATTAAGGGAAACGTGATATAACCTGTATTTAGTGGAACACTGTGTGACTATCAACGTACGGTTTGAGACTTTTCTTGGTACACATCGCTACTTTGTTCTTAAACAGTCGAATAAGCATTACCATATTTACTAATTAGATTAAAAATTATTGTCACTATCGTACCGCAGTAGGTCTTACTTATACAGAAGCCGCGACGCGGAGGTCAGGGTCACGTTGGCCAACGCTCCACGACGACGCTGCCTTGGTAGGTCTCCTTTAATAATCAGTTCACATGTTTACTAGAGACATGTACATTTATGTTTAAAAAAAAACAAAAAAAAAAATAAAAATAATAAAAAGGATTATCCCAAAGTCGGTTTAATGTATTATTTGGAATTGTCCCCTGTTTACAGTTTATATCGAAGCAAAGCGCTATCTCTCCTTCTATAGTCCACTTTTATGTTATCAATGTCGCAAAACATACTGGAATGTTTGCGGCAGATAGTATTCTTGTGTATTATTTTCCAAATACTTTTCGATTATTATTCACAAGTTGATTTTGATGATTCCTAAATGTTTGTTTACACTGATATAATAGCTACAAGAGATAAATATTCTAAGCTTGAACTTTCTGCTGCGTGTCTCTAACGCATAAAACTGACCATTTGCACTTTTCGCATTTACCGCTAGCTCCAAATTTAAAAAAAAGTATAGGGTTTAGCGATAGGTATTTCAAAAAATAACAGAAAACAAACTGCAGAACAAAATACTTGACATGAATTATAAGTAATGCCGGGCAGGCGAAATATACCTGCTAGTACGTAGCTGTTCGCTTGTCTGCAACCTGTTTATTAAAGGTCAATTTGGCTTGAGACGACTGAACGGTCACACGCACCGGGCATCGCTTCGATAACAAAGTTGTGTTTTTTTCATCTTTTATCCTCAACTTTAACAACCTGCCACAACATAAAGTATTAACCAAATGCTTTTCTGTAACGGCGACATCACGATATTTTATTTTAATATGCTAGCCGACTTAAAACCCGCAATTGCTTTTAAATTTTGAAGCGAAAATTGTGGGTCAGACTAAGCCAATGCCATGTGTTGTCAATGTACGATGTATCATCAACATAACTTCGTGTGTAGGATACAATGCATATATTTTAAAAAAGGAGGTATTTAAACGCTGTATTGTTGCATTCATATTATTTTGCTCAACTAAGATTTTTGTTTTGTTTTCATTTGTTTGTAAATGTTCAGGATAGAACAAGGAAGAAGAAATAACGCTTTTGAAGGTGTTAAATTAATATAATTTCAACTAAAAAATAATTAGTTTGTATTCGAATGTAAGTCCGTTATGGTTGGAAGTCAGTGCGAATGTACAAATTTGAATGTGAGTCGTTAACCATTTATAAGCTAATATATTTTAAATCCAACGGTCGACTTCCAACGCGAGTGTTACAAGTATAATGACAGTCTATGGTTTACACGTTAATTTATACATATTAATAATTTTAAATTTATTTATAATTTGAACTGTCTGTAGCGCAGACAGTAAATAAAATAAAGAACATTGTATATTTACAATTTAAATTTTTATACGCCCTGTGTATATTATTACCCAAAACCGGCATTAATTTATTATTAATTAATGCCGGTTTTGGGTGATACGATAATCATTCGACAGGCTACTGAATTAAAAAAAAAACCCTACTTTAAAAGAGGAGGGATGGGTGCTAACATCCGCTTGTGGATACTATCATTAATAAAATTAAATCTATGCCCAAACGAACCACTACTGCAATTGAAAGTAAAATCCCATTTATGTTCCATTGCTTGGTCATCACGAAACCCCAATGCGGATTGTAGATTTCAATATCTTCAGTTAATTTTGGGTTCGATCTATGCAGGCACTAATTTAAAATTGTCTTGATACAAACTGACGGCAGCCCGTGTTAACGATAACATTCAGACATCCAAATCCGTCTGTCTTTTGATCATGAACGCTGTCGGGAATTTAAAAAAAAACCACGATAAATCCGTAAAAATAGTTACACGTATTCTGATATGGCCGCTAATTTGCCGTGGAGTGGCGGATTATGCCGTAGTCTTCTGGGTACAACGAAACTTGCGCCAAGCCGTGCAACTTACATATACAGCGTGTCGTTACCATCGCGACAATAAATGAACACTCACATAAAATATTAACGTTAAAAAAAATCCGTAATTAAAAAAATATTTTTCAAAAAAACTAATTAAGTAAACAAGAAACAAAATTTGTAACATCCTATACAACTAGCGCCACAGCGTCGCATTACAAGCCTCTCCTTCTAACAGTATGTTTTGTCTTTTTTTAAATTCATTCAACCCATTCATATGCTTCGTGACCTTTACAGATGAACTTTACGTTACAATTTCTTACGTAAGGGTGTTCTAAAATTGTTTGTTTTGGAAAATTTTATAACTCTGTAAATATTGATGTTTAAAAAGTTATCCTCTATATGTGTGTTCATTTATTGTCGCGATGGTAAAGACACGCTGTATAGGTTTTCGTCACGTGTCAAACGTTTCCGCGCCCGTAAACGCTGTAAGCGTGGGCGTTTAGAACGAAGGGCGAAGAGAGAGCGTTGCGTTGCGTCAGTTCCAGAGCGGCTGAAGAAGCGCGCCAGCCTGAAGCTGATGCGCGCACGCGAGAGGGACTGGAAGCAGGAGCTGGGCGAGCACGAGCCGCGCGCCGACTCGCTGCCGTCGCCCGGCCCCGCCGAGCCCACGCTGGTATCGTTGGCGAAGCCTTCTAGACCCCTCATTGTACTCACTTCATTATACCGTTTGACTGCACAGGAGCAGTGTTGTTTCTAGGTTCGATTCCCGCTCGGGCCAAAGTTTGAATGACCACAAATAGCGGTTTCCCAGTCCAGTTTGGGGTTGAGGTCAAAGTATTCTAAGAGATGCTGCCGAGTCAAAAGGTAGATATAAGAATAAGTTCTTTGTAGAAAACAAGCCCCGATCTCTTGATCCCGAAGTCTTGTTTACCTATTTTATTACCCAATCTTTCTTTCCACTTCCGTAGTAAATAAGAACCTCAATACGTAAAACCCTTACAAGAGGAAGAAAAGATTTTGTTGTCTTTCAAATCCCACCTCCCTTTCTCATAATAAGGATTTAAGTATTATTCCTTTATTTTAACTCGAAGTAATATATTGCGTTTCATATCCGAATACGGAATATAACAATTTTTGATTGTACTATTTTTATATATGTTTTAAATGAATAATGCATACTATATCTCCAATAAATCCTGAGTTACGTCTTTACAAAGAATATTGCCTTAAGATGCATAGATGTTTGTCACATCTATGCAGAATCTGTTTAATATGTTTTTATTGAAGCTTCCAACCAACACATGGCGAACGGGGTGAGAGTGTAAGTACGTGGCAGGTGGAGTCGTGCAGCCGCTTCATGTCGCTGAGCTCTCGGCTGAAGAGCCGCGCGGAGGAGGCGGAGCAGTGCCAGCGCTGGCCGAGCGAGCAGCAGCTGCCGCCGAGCCGCGTCAGCTTCCACAACACCTTCAGCCTGCTCATTAACATGGGCAACGCCGACAAGGGCTGCAAGCGCACCGTGAGCCTCCACGACCCCCCTTTTTAGTTTTAGGATGGGGTGGGGGTGGAATCTTCCAAAGATACCCTTTCACCTTACATGACAGAGCTATGTGGGGTTCATACCCATTAAAACCCCCTCGGTAGCCACCTTCCAGGTAAGTTTGGAGGGACTCCGGTATCTCCTACGGAACGTACTTCTCCCGCATTCTCGGGGGGGAGGCGAGTATAAACTCTCGCATCCATCTCCGCCAGGATATCCAGCGGTGGAAGCCGAGCTACGATAGAGGCCGCCCGGAATCGTCCACGCGCCTAACACTCGTTGACAGTTCTCACGCGGAGCCGTTAACCTGCCCCAGATCAGCCGCGAGGAGCAGGTGTGGCAGAACGAGCTGAAGGACCTGATCTGGCTGGCGCTGCAGGCGCGCCTGGCCGGCCGCAGCCTGCCGCAGCAGGACGCCTACCTCTGCGCCCAGCGGGACCTCATCCCCGGTGTCGTCGACACCATCCTGAACTACAAGTGAGCGGCACGCACTCTATGCCTCATGCAGAAGCGTCTAAGGTGAACATTTTAATATACTTTGATTGTGCTCGCAGATTCGTGAACCCGTTTCCGTGTCCCGCTGCGCAAATGGCAAAGCCGCAAATCGGTCTCGAAGTGGATGAAGATATTGGTGAGTTTATTGTTGAAAGAACAACAGAACTCGTATTATAAAGAACCTTACAATTTATTTCAACGCAATGTTAATAATTTAAATTCAAACTGCCGAAGCTCAAATATTTAGCAGCATTTTAAATCATGAATTAAATCAATTTCATGCCCTCCGAAGAAGAGTAGCCTGAAGTCAGTTTTTGCCACCAGACAGGTGCAATGTAGTGAAATTATTTAGGGGTGTACAAATTTGATTGTGAATGAAGTCTCTTTCATGTAGTAAAAATCGAAATAGCAATAATAACTTATGTGAAACTGCAAATGTGAACTGTAAGTCTGCAATGTATAATCGTACTTTAAATTATCATCGTTCGAATTTGAATGAAGAGGACGACTTCGATGCGACCAGTGGTTCGAGATTTTATAATAAATAACTCTACCTAGGCTCAAGCGGACCACCACTGCAATATTTCAAATAATTATAAAAATGGCGTGTGCGGTGTCCGAATGGTCACCTAATGTGCGTGAACGGTTGTCGTCGGGGGCAGAGCCGCAGACGTGCCTGTGTTTGGAGTGCGCGCGCTGCTGCGGCAGCATCGGCGCGGCCATGCGCGAGGTGTCTTCGCTGCTGGAGGCGTTCTACGGCGCCGCAGACCTCTACCCGTCCAGCTCGGCGGCCGAGGCCGACCAGCCCAGCCTGGCGCGGCCGCAGCTCAAGCACCGCGTGCGGGTGGGTACGCCCCGCTGGTCCTGCCCCTTTTTTTTTTTTTTGGTATCGGGGGGGAAATCTTCAAAAGATACCCTGTCACTTTACATGACAGGGTTATGTGGGGTTCTTACCCACTAAAACCCCCTCGGTGGCCACCTTCTGTACATTTGGAGGGACTCCGGGATCTCCCATGGAACGCACCGGTGTCCCTCGGTACTACGCCTGAGCACGCCTCGGAGAAGGATAAACCTTCTCCAATCCCCTCATCCTCTTACAGCAACACGAGACCACTTCGTGCTGCTGCCCATCCGTGTCCCCTTTTAGTCGCCTTTTACGACAGGCAGGGGATACCTTAGTCCTATTCTATAAGCCCGGGACTACAGGGCTGACGGAACGGCTCGTCCGTTTCTACCACCCGCGCGCCTTCGTCTCCGAGCAGGGTCGGCCCTCTCCCGTTCCCGCTCAGCGTTCTCCTTCTGGTGCATGACTGCTTCGCAGAAGGAGACCAGTGCCGTCCAAGCAGATTTCTCCATCAGTGCAGCCGCCACTGCAACTGGTGGAGAAAGGTCCTGCCCGATCTTTTGGACCAGGATCCGACGTTCTGACTCCCAAGCGGGGCACTCTGCAAGAGTGTGTTGCGCGGAGTCCCGGTCCCCACCACAATGGTGGCATTGCGTTGTCGGTTCGCGTCCAATTCTATTTAGGTACTCACCAAAGCATCCGTGCCCGGTGAGCACCTGCGTCAACCGGAAGGTGACGTGCGCGAATCCCCTCGCACTTAGCCAGGCTTCGAAGCTGGGCAGGAACGCAGTGACGATTCGTTGGCGCAAGTTCCGAGCTTCTCCCAAGCGCTCGCGCCAAATCTCCAACCCTCGTGTACGCTCCTGCTCCCGCACCTCTCCCGCATCCAGGGGCTCGGCATCATCCTGAGGTAACCGGAGGCGAGTATAAACTCGCGCATCCATCTCCGCCAGGATGTCCAGTGGTGGAAACCGAGCAAGGATAGTGGCCGCCTCAAAGGATATCGTTCGATACCCTCGTGCGATCCTGATGGCTATTCTTCGCTGCAGGCTATAAAGTTTAGACCTGCAGCGTCGGACATCCGTTAGTCGGTGAGACCATACGGGAGGCCCCGTAGAGGGTCATCGATCGCACGACTCCCGCATAGAGGCGGCGAACTCCCTCCCTGGGGCTGGTCCTGCCCCTGCCGCGCAAAAGGCTACAAAGGGCACTAACAGCCCGCCGTCCCGCTCCGCAGGCGATGTGCGTGTGGTTCAACGCGGCGCTGCACATGCGCCAGAAGCTGGAGTCGCTGCGGCGCATGCTGCGCAGCGCCAGCCTGGCGCGCGCCCCTCCCTGCGCCCGCCGCCTCCAGCAGCTCGCCTCCAGCGACTCGGACCTCTCGGGGTATTGCTCTCTTTTGTACCGGGGCCCCGGCGACATAGAAACATTTATTGTATCCTAACGCGTGAACGAGCACCCAGATCGTGAAAAAAATGGTTGTCTCGTGTGAGAATCGAACCCACGGAGTCATCCATTTTTTTTGCACCATTGGATTTTCTTAATCGATGAAAGTGGCAGCCGGAATCGAGCAATGTTCAATCGACAGAATGTCGTCGGAGGGCCACCGACCTTGCCAGGTGCAGTTCGACGTGAGCAACACGCCCACCGACTCCAGCAGCAGCGACGCGAGCGCGCACTGCGCCGACAAGAGCCGGAGCTCCGACGAGGTGTCTGTTAATCTGCCTACGGGGTGTGCCATCGAACACAAGCGGGAGTCGACGGAACTTAGCAATGAAGAAAAGAATACGGAGGAAGTAAGAGGTGTAGATAACAACGAAGAAGGGACCAATGGCAGCCATGAACATCGAGAGGATGTCGTTGATAGCGGCATTGACAGCAGATCTGGTAAGAGTGATTGACACGGGTTTATAATAAGCCAGTATAACTTGGTGTTAAAATGAATTCCATAACGTTTGCGCATATATTCAAATGAATATACGTAGATGAATTTTGACGATGACATGGAGGTCGCTATTTTGGCCAGATACCTTAGGCGATACCACCCCCGAGATCTGGCAGCCGGAGGAGCAGGACCAGGGGGCGGAGGGGGCGGACGACCCTCTGCAGCTGGGCTCCCTGCACGAGCTGGCCCAGCTGCGCCTGCTGGGCAGGACGCACGTGCCCCTCTACAGGTACACATTCACCATGAATGCTTTCTTTGTCTTCATTTATTTGACTCGGCTAAATTACTTACAATTGGTACTAATCGAGACTGTGATGTCAATGTTTCTTATTGAATATTTGTGCATTAGGTATGTAGAATAAGTTATAATAAAGCATCTTTATTAAAATATATTTTGTACGTTTAATGTTATAGGGACTACCAATACGAGATGCTGAAGACGCAGGGCGTTCGTCGTTGCATGACTTTCATCCATAAGATCTGCTACAAATTGTTACGAAAAGTGTATTTCACGCTACTTCCCGAGGTAAAATTAAAACTTTTTTAATTACATTTTTTATAAAGGTTAATTACTTTATACTCTGTGTACCTAATCGTTATGAATTTCTTGGCAGAATGTAGAACTGGACTCCTCATTTTCCGACGAGTTTACGGAGTCCCTTTTGAACTCAAAGAGTGAGTCGCACGATAAGAATGAAACCAAATCCAAATTTGAGGATGCATTTGAATTGCGCAGGCAAGTTTTACATTTATATAATACAACTTCGTAGAGAGTCAACGGGGAAGACAGACAGGTGGCTTACTTCAGATGCGTCAATGTTTTAGTGTTAACATGATTGTTACTGTCGTATATTAGACGCATTTCCGTGATTTGAGTGGTAGGACTCCCGCGAAATTGGAATGTACATCAGGGACCACCGGGTTGTAAATCCGCTATCAACAAAGTAAACTCTTGTGTATGACGGCGTACGTTCTCGTGTATAAATTTCGGTATGCGAATGCAGGTACGGGTGCTGGTCGCCGGAGACGGTGGGCATGCGGCTGCCCTGGTTCCGCAGCCACTTCGTGCTGCTGGGCTGCGTGTGCATGGAGGCCATGCACGACTACCTGGCGCTGCGGCTGGAGACGCGCCCCGCCCACCCCTCCTGCCTCACCGTCAAGCAGGTGCGCGCTTCGTTCACGGCCCCGAGCGGCCGCTACGCCTAGCCTAACGCCCTCTCTTGCCCGCTGCGGGCGCAGCTGATCCACGAGCTGAAGGAGGGGCTGGACCTGGCCACGGAGATCCGCTCGGGCTTCGTGCGCTACGCCTTCGCGGCGCTCAGGGGCCTGGCCGCTCGTTCCGCGCAGGGCCCGGACCTGCTGCGGCTGCTGCGCACCTTCGACGCCACCGTAGAGACCGCGCTGCAGGTCTATTTGTTTTTTAAAATATGTTAAAAATTATTTTAAATTAATGGTAAGATAAGACGAAATATAGAATTCTATTAACGAGCTGGTGTGTCGCAGCAATACCTGTCGTACCTGAGCACGATGTCGGAGACGGAGGCGCTGCCGCGCTCGGCGCTGGCGGCCGAGTGGGCGTTCACGGCGCGCCTGGCCGCGCGGGCGCCGCGCGCCGCCGCCGCCGCCCCGCCCGCCTTCGTGTGAGCGCCCCAATCCCCCCCGCCCCCCTCGCCCCGCGATCGCCCCGCTCACCGCCCCCTCTCTCCCGCCGCAGCGACATCGCGTGCAAGCAGCTGCGCCGGCTGGTGCGGCGCTTCGACGAGCGGTTCGACGGCCTCGAGGAGATGGTGAGCTCGAAGGAGAGCGAGGGGCCCAGGTGAGCGACGACCCTCGCGCCCCTTCCTGTGCGGGAGTGGCGGGAGTGGCGCGAGGGTGAGGCTCAGTGCGCGGCGCAGGTACGTGGTGTTCGCGGTGTGCCGCGCGGCGCAGGAGGCGTTCGTGGGCGAGCGCGAGGCGGTGCTGCAGGCGGCGCAGGCGGCCAGGGCGCTGGCGGCGCGGCTGCCGCTGCGGCGTGCGGCCCACAGGGCGCCGCTGCTGGTGAGTGCACGGGGGCGGGGGGCGGGGCGGGGCGGGCCCCCCCGCTCACGGGTCGCGTGCGCAGGGGGCGCTGGTGGCGCTGCGCGACTGCCTGGTGCGGCACACGGAGCGCATCCTGGAGCGCAGCCGGCTGCCGGCCGAGGAGGCGGCCGACCTCTCCGACGGCACGGCGGCGCGCGTGCGCGAGCTGCTGCTGCAGGCCTACAAGCTCGGCTTCGAGGTACGCCGTCTTTCTCTGCCCTATGCCCTATGCACAAACTGCAAACCGGTCCAATTGTCGGCGATTGCCGACACGCTTATCGCCGCATTCGCACTTTTACTTTTTATTATTTTACGTAAAGCGAAACTGCACCAGCCATAAATGTTCCCACGCACGAGCGTTGCAGATCGCGCTCTGTGTCTGTACCTTTGCACCCGTGTTGGGGCGCTCGGCAGCTGCACCGCGAGCTGTACGCGCTGGCGCAGGCGCCGCGGCGGCACGGGTGGGGCGGGAGGGGCGCTCCGCGGGGGCGTGGGCGGGGGCGCCCCTCGTCGCTGCAGCCCCCGCCGCCCCCACGCCCCCCGCCCGCCGCCGGCGCCCGGCGCAGGCCCGACACCGTCGTAATCCACGAATCCGTCAACCCCCTGGTACGACAGCGGGCCGCTCTTTTCACTACACGGGCCTCTGTGTTCGTTGCCTGCGCGTGTGTGTGTTTTGTCGGTAGACAGTAGGCGTTGCCAGAATTTTGTCGTACGCGTTATGTTTGTTGTTGTGGCGACGTTGGATGCTGTGCTTTTTTTTGTGGGGCTTACTCTTCGCTTTGAGGTTTTCGATCTCTTTGTACTATTTTTATTCAAGGTTTGAGTTGTTTGGAACTAAAACAGCAATCGGGTGACAAGTTCAGATTACTCAAGATGTGTGATACTGCTACGGGTGACGCTGCGACTTACTTCATGCTTAATTTAGTTCATTTACCTATTTGAATATACATAGTTATCGCAAATAAAATTTAAAATATTAGTGTTCTAAATAATTCTTGTAATTAATATTCCTGAAAAATACAATTAGCTGCAGTATTTAAAGTTATTGCAGATATAAATAAATCAGCTAGAACCCAACCCTTTTCTTGAACAAATTATGCAAATCAAGAACTATCCTTGGTAGAAATCAATGTTTTCCCGCAACTTTGAACTGAAAACTCGAAAATATATCATGAGCGCCCGTCAGTGGCTACTCTGATCTAACTGATAATCAGGTAGCTTTCAAATTGCTTTTACAAAGTAAATTGTTCATCTGTTAAAATAAATGCGTTCCACTGGTTTTTCATATTGCAATCCCTGCGTGCCTTTGGCATAGGCAGAGCCATATTTGGTAGGGTTCACTATTGGTCGGTGAAAGGGTACCAAAGTGCTCGGCCTGGTCGGTTTCCAGTTGCACAAGGAGCTTCATCGGTTCGTGAACGAGAGTTGGGGCCGCAACGGCCCCTCCGCCCCCTCCGCCACCCCCGGCCCCCCTGGCCCCGGCGCCGCCCGCGCAGAGCGCATATCCCGCTCCAAGCTCCTACGTTCGGAGAGCATCATAGAGGAGGGCGTATTCGATTATAGAATCTTCGAGGGCGCTACGGAGAGCACGGTAAGTTTCACTTATTGATATTTTGCAACCCTTTGGGTTTTGGCATTGTATGTGCTCATACGGAGGAGTGGTGCAGACACCTAAAACTTTTAATCGATACAGGGAGGCTTTTCGTTTTTTTATTTTGGCATACTACTTACATTTTACTTTGGCATACATTTTTTTTACTACTTAAATTCTAGACATAAATAATGTTATATAAAAATGATAAATATTTAAAATCACTTGTAATTCTATCCACTGAGCTATCAAGAGCCGTGATAGCTCAGTGTCCGGGCGCTCGCCTTTAATTCAATATACTCGAGCAACCCGAGTTCGATCCCCGGTGCCGGCACCAATGAAGTTTTTAACTTTAAGTGCTGACTTATCACGTGCTCCGCGGTGAAGGAAAACATCGTGAGGAAACCTGCATATTTTCGAAATAATAACAAAAAAATATATATTTCGAAGATATGTGAAGTCTGCCAATCCGCAGTGGGGCAGCGTGGTGGTCTATGCCCTGATACCCTCTGTGAAGAGGAGGCCTTTGCCCAGCAGTGGGACATGTATAGGCTGTTACTTTACTTTACTTTACTTGTAATTAATTAAATACCTTCATTGGAACTTATCTTAAAAAGTGCGTGATTTATGGGCAACTCATTTATTTTACGCGCGATCATTCATAACTAACACGCACACAAGTTCGTTTCAAAAGTATACGACGCATTTATGAATAATTTCCGCATTGTCAACAAGTTCTGTTTTTAGGGAATGGAATGGCATAATTTAAAAAAAAAGAGAAAGGTTTTTTTATTCCAATAAACGATTTTACTACCGAGTCTGAACCTCCTGTGTGCATTTGGGCACCTTTAGAAAAGCCACCCTGTATATCCCAAGAACCTTGTTACAGAAACAGAACGATTTGGAAGAGTTGTTAGCGAGTGCCGAGGGCTGGGCTCCAGCCGCTGCTGGGGTCGCGGGGGGAGTCGAGGGGGAGGGGGGAGTGAAGGATGCGGAGGGAGAGGAGGGGGTAAAGGTAGAGGGGGGTGCGGAGGGGGAGGAGTGCGGTGCGCTGGAGGAGCAGTGGGCGGCGCAGGTGGCGCGCGCCATCATAGAGTTCGCGAGGTGCTGGATGCGCTTCGTGATGGAGCGCTGCGAGCGCGGACGCGGCCTCAGGCCCAGGTGGGTGCTGCCTCTCCCCCCATTTTTCATTTATACCAAATATTTATAAATTTTAATATGTTGAATGAACCATTCGCACGTCGAAAGTTTGAACATAACGTGTTAAATCCGTTGATAATGTAGATACTTGAAAATTTTTCAGTTTTAAAAGAACGACATCGATGGTAATTTATTTTTCTTTAATTATATTTTTAATTTACGTTTTCTTGCTGAAATTCATGTTTATTCGCAGATGGGCCAGCCAAGGTTTAGAGTTCCTGATGCTCGCCTGCGACCCGTGGAACACCAAACATTTGAGCGACGAGGAGTTCGAGGTAGGAGCCGCTGCAAAAGGTGCCTTTTGTAATTGGTCGATTTGTATGTGACGCGTTCGGTCGTTGGGTGCTCAGGAGCTGAAGCAGCTGATGGACGCGTGCATCTCGCACGTGATCGGGTCGCGGCCCGCGGCGCCCGCCGACCCGCCCAGGCGCCCCAAGCGCGCCCTGCACGTGAGCGGCTCTCTCTCTCTCTCTCTCTCTCTTTCTCTCTCTCGATTCTGTCTCTCGATTCTCTCTACGATTGATTTTGATCAGAATTTTTACTGTGGTATGGAAGGGCAGGCTCGCCCGGGGAAGTACCATGGTGTTCTTTCTGGTTTTCAAAGATTAGAAAAATGTTGTGTGACGTATTGTAGCTTTGTTGAAAGCTAAGCAACAAGGACAACCTATAGTTAAGATGTACACAATATCGCGAAGATGTTGATCTAATTCACCTTTCAGGACATTTAATTCACCTGTAAGGACCACGTTGTCGAACTTGGACTATGTTACCAATAGAGGACGTCGAAGATTATTAAAATACTGAAATTAAGTTTCTCTCTAGGTATCTAAAAATTACCCACTCATCTGTCTACTTTCGAGCATTTTCAACTTTTTTTTCTTTCTGCTTCTCCTTTCCGGTAGTTAATGTTGATGAGAAATTCAGTTTTCGATCTGAGCATTGCTTTTATCGATACTCATCTACCTCGTTGAAGAAGTCGGTACACATACAACGGCCCTCGGGTTACCGTCTTAATCGAACTTTAATGGTTAGTCAATGACATATGAGCGGCACATGAGCTTCTGGCTACGAATAGCTGTAAATAGTCTCTGAGATTATCCAAAGGATGAGTTGGTGAAAGCGTCGTAAAAAGAATGAAACGATCGGAGCAGAGTCCTTCGGCGAGCGGCGCGGCGTGCCGGGAGCCGCAGAGTCCCCCCGCCGAGGGCGACGCGCCCGCCCTGCCGCAGCGCGACCGCCTCGACCACGGTAGGGCATGTCGCATGTCGCATGTCGCATCTCTGTCTGGCGCGTGCGTTGTCTGACGAGGGTCGTGCGCAGCGGCGGGGTGCGCGCGGTGCGGCGGGCGGGCGGCGCGCGTGGCGCTGGCCGTGGCGCTTGTGGAGCGCGAGCGGGAGGGCGGGCTGCGCGCGCGCGGCGCCGTGGGCCGGCCGCTGCCCGCCGCGCCGCCCTGCGCCCAGCCCAAGCTGCGCCAGCTGGCCTTCAAGTGGCAGCGCGGCCTCAAGATCGGCGCCGGCTCCTTCGGCAAGGTGTACACCGTGGTGAACACGGAGAGCGGCCAGCTGCTGGCCATGAAGGAGCTGAGCGTGTGCGCGGCCGACCGGCGCGCGCTGCAGCGGGCCGCCAACGAGCTGCGGCTGCTCGAGGGCGTGCTGCACCCCCACCTCGTGCGCTACTACGGCTGCGAGCTGCACCGCGTCAGTGAACGACCGCATTGAACGATTACTCCGCTTAGCTTTCTTCGTGTAGCGTCTATACGCAGAACCAGAACACGCACGCAGGATTCAGTTATCTACAAAAAATTTGCAATTAACAAAATAGCGATCAATACTCCGTGAAACCAGGATATGAGATCAGTAACTACAATAGTCCACAACTATTTCTATATACGAAATGGTTACCTCTACGTAAGTGATATCAAAAAAGCTATATCCGGTTTTACTGAAAATAGATGATTTGGTGCGCAGGCGGTGTTGTGTGCGCAGGAGGAGCTGCTGCTGTTCATGGAGCTGTGCGTGGAGGGCTCGCTGGAGGCGCTGGTGGGCGCGGCGGGCGCGCTGCCCGAGCACACCGCGCGCCGCTACGCCAAGCAGCTGCTCAGCGCCGTGGCCGAGCTGCACGCCAGGGGCATCGTGCACCGCGACATCAAGAGTGAGCAGCCCCTCACCGCCCCTCACCGCCCCTCACCGCACCCCACCACTGACTAACCGCCTCCTCGGCCGCAGGCGGCAACGTGTTCCTGACCAACGAAGGCCACTGCCTCAAGCTGGGCGACTTCGGCTGCGCCGTCAAGATCCGCGCCAACACCACGGCGCCCGGCGAGCTGCAGGGCTTCGTCGGCACCCAGGGTGACCTACCATGCTCCTACTATTTTTGAACCTCTCTCGCTATCTAAAACAAGAAAATACTTGTATTCGAGCAAAAAGCGCGAAAGCCCTTTTATCACCAGCCGCGACAACGAGTCGAGTTATTGAGAGTCCATCTCCGTCGTCCGCAGCGTACATGGCGCCCGAGGTGTTCATGAAGTCGTCCGGGCACGGGCGAGCGGCCGACATCTGGTCGCTGGGCTGCGTGGTGACGGAGATGGCGTCGGGGCGGCGGCCCTTCGCCGAGTACGACAGCAACTACCAGATCATGTTCGTGGTGGGCATGGGCGGGCGGCCCCTCGTGCCCGACGCGCTGTCCGAGGAGGGCCAGGAGTTCTGCCGCCTCTGCCTCACGCACGACCCGGAGCTGAGGCCGCGCGCGGACGCGCTGGCGCTGCACCACTTCCTCATGGTGCGTGCTCTCTCTTCCACCGCCTCACGCACGACCCGGCCACGGCGCCGATGCTAACAAGGAAATAAATATCTATTTGAGTCGACCCTTACATGGCTGGTGGAACTACCCCCATTAAAATGTAGTACATTGCACACGCATACTTAATACTGTTACAGTTTATCCACGTGCGATGTGTTTCAGGTGAAGTCGGACGATGACTGCAAATGCGAATCCGCATACCTCATGGCTTGACGGGCCGACGTTTGATTTGGGCCTCCGCTGACAGCTGGTCTTTTCCTTGCAAATAAAAAAAAACTATCTATATATATTTAAGAAAAATATGTATGTACTTATGCACACACGTAAGAAGTTTTACTTCCTTAGTGTAACAAACAAATACAAATTTTTTCCTGTGTACGGAGAGTACTTGCAGTTTGTGAAAGAAGTACAGTAAATGCAATTGATAACGGTTTAATGGTAAATGTCAAAAAGTAGTTACGGTAAATCGGTCGTCACGGTAACGCCATGAAGTTGTCACCATGGTGTCGCGCCTCGTAAATATTCACCATCATGTTTCCTAAACGAGCCATCATACATCTACCTACTTAATCAATCATGAAATTCAAAATATTTTTTTTTTAAAAATTGTTACTATGTATGTGTAATTCTACTTATATATATATTTTTTATATATACTTATACATTATTGAGTTTATAACTCAATAATGTATAAATATGAGAAATCAATTTAATTATCAACCAAAAATCGTAAACTTTAAAAAAACCCCTTACGTAACGTGAAAAATCGTGTTGTTCATAGTTCATAAGTTTTACACATTTTTCATGAAGCATGAAGAACATGTGACGAACACACATGTGTGTTGGTATTGGACCTTGGACTCCGGAGATATATCAGGGATCTTCTCTAAAGCAAGTTGAAAATGTATAAATGTGAGTGAGATATTTGAAGTCTGTTTTGTATTTTGCTAATAAAAATGTACCCGTTAAAGATTTCTTCATTGATATTTTGTATATATAAAGGTTTAATAAGCATAAAACGAAATGAAATAAAAATTCAAAACTGTTTTTTATATTAAAATTGTATTTTTGTAAAAAGTGCATACGTACACAGAGCCACGATTGTTATGAACAGCATATATAATATATACTGCTTTATTTTGTTGTTACTCGTGCATTTTGTAAGAAAATTTTGTATTAATATAAAATATCATACATATTTAGAATAAAACCATATTTATCGAGACTAAAAGTCTAGTACATTTTGAGTGAACTACTATAGACATAATTAAATAATAAAATATTATATCGATGTTGCATTTATAATGAGTCGGTCCAGTTTATTTCAGAGAGGTAAATTTTTAGACAATTATGTAAGCCAAACAATACGGTCTAGAAATATGACGGGAGATATAACGAGAAATATAACGACATGTATAAATTGTATATACAATTATACATATACGATACGCGAGTTTAATTGTATTAAAATGGTAAATTTTAAATACCAAAAGTGGTAGGTACGTATTTTTGGACTGCTATAAAACTGTAATCCTGTAAATATATATATGGAAAAAAAATAAAGAATATGATTACTTATTGTAGATAAATGTCTAGCCAATAATGCTGCTAGAACAGTATTTATATTGAGTTAACTTGTTCTTAATAGGGCTTGGGCTCTGCAATTTATATGATACTGTTGTATGTCATTTCCATACGAGTATTCTCGTAAGTAATGTCGGGTGTAAGCTTTATATATAAATGTATTTTTGAATGCCATATTTCCAAATAATTATTTGAATTTATACTAAAATAAGATAAGCATTGGGTTGGTATTGATTGATGAATATATATTTCTTATCTATTTTCTATACTTTTTGTAGTATACATTTTATATTGGTGAATCCCGTAAATATGTGTATACAAATTTGATATAATATAGTAGTATATGTATACAAAGAAGCATCATTTGTCTAAATGCGATGCATTTTCAACATAATACATGTAAAAAATCAATATGGAAAGTTTTTAACGTTATGGCAATCACGGCGCCAACTAAGTCATTATAGGACAGCTATAATTTTATATGGAACAATAGTTTTCGTGTAGACGTTATTAAGAAAAAGGTTTAACGCAGATTTATTGTGAAAAACTAAATAAATGATAATTGCATTTTATCCGTGTTTTCTTTGTTTAAGCTTTTATTAAATGCAAGAAATTTGCTTATTTAAGATGCACCGTTCCGATTTGGTAGGGCAATCAACAGTTCGCGGTTGGACGAATAGGCAGGTTTGTCCGGGTAACTACCACGACCTCACATAAGACCGTGAAGTGGAAATTTATTTATTTATTTATTTAAAAACTTTATGCACAATAACGTACAATGGCGGACTTAACACCATTAGGTGTTCTCTACCAGTGAAAGGTATATATGCAAATAAGCATAGAGAATAAGGAGGTGCGAAAGATTTTACCCATTACGAGATTCTTTAGTAAAGAACATGATAATATATTTGTCGGTTGACTGGTAGAGAACACCTAATGGTGTTAAGTCTGTACGTTATTGTGCATAAAGTTTTTAAATAAATAAATAATACAAATATACATACACAATACTTACATACCTATATAGTATTAGATATTTTAGAATTATGTCAAGCAGAGGAAATTCAAGCATCTCAGTGTTCAACAATTCGATTATCTAAATAAAATTTAAAGACGGCACGTTTAAAATTCTCTTTAGTCAGACAATCAGTATGGAGCCAATCTCTGCACTTAAGATGAAACATTAAGCAAGGAAATGTTACAGTCCTGCGTTTCGTCTGGTGAGTGTGGTAGCCAGAGCCTAATTTATTAAATGGTGGCAAGGCATCTGCAACCCTACGGTTGTTGCAAATGTCTATGAGCGGTGGTTGTGACTTACCACCAGGTGAACCGCCAGCTCGCTTGTTACCTTTTCGAATAAAAAAAAAGATTGGGATAAATATCTTACACCAAATTTGTTCAATGATATTAAAATATTGACGATGCTTCTGAATAAATATTAAGGCATGGTAATATTCATGATATATGTACTAGGAACAAACAAATTAATTGTACCCATAGCTAGACTGTGTAGAATAAGTATTTCTTTTTGGGACAACATATACGTTTTTACAGCAACTTTAAAAATATTAGATACATTGTTAATGTGAATGCTAAATAAATAAAAAGGAACATTTGTGTTTAACACACAAGGCTATAATAATATTAGTTATTATTTTATGATAACACACCCTGGAAATGGAATCGTTCCAGACTCTTTTATGTGGACTTTATTAATGCATTGTAATCCATCAATCTCTCCTGACATTTATGTCGTTGTACTGGGAATGGTCTGGCCCATTCCCAGAAGAAGCGTTACTTGTGTAGGTAGAAAGAGTATATAAGGTTGTCCCTACTTCGCACATAAATATTTAATACGAATACATAAGAATTTACTTTGAACGTTTTCTAACATTTCGATGTAGGTAATTGGATTCATGGAGTGTCCAAGTAGCCGCATTATTTTCTAATAGATTGCCCACTAGAGCGGTGTACATACTCGTCATATTTTTGTCATAATGAAAACTTTTGAATTATGCAGGCCATAAAAATATCGAATTTAGATTGTTTTATAAAAATAAAACTGTAAATGTAATAATAATGGAACGATATAATAACTCGGACTCCAACACTGACAAAGGCGCGAATCCAAAGAAATCCCATTCTTAAGTAGAAACTGTTGACCCTTCAGATGGGGCTAAGCAGAACCACGGTGAAAAGAAGATATTGTTTGGATGCGCTGGATGGATGCGCTTCGATGGTCTGTTTGATAAAGCAGTATGCAGGAAAAAAACGAAATTCTTTTTTCGGATGAGTAAATTTTTACCTCGGAAGAGATCTACAGTAAATAAAATGATAAGGTGTATGGCCACAAAAATGAAGAAGCGACGAGCCTGTCGAGTAATCTGTGTGTCCAGCAAAGCCATTTTTAATTTTCACTTATATTTAATTTTTGTGAGGAAGGCGTAAAATCGAATGCAGTTGTGTCAAAATACCTTGCTCACAAACTATGTTGAACCTCTTTCACATACAGCAAACAATCCCTATGGAGCCAATCTCTGCACTTAAGATGAAACATTAAATTTTGTAGAAAAGTGAACGAAATGTGCTTTGCCAAAGAAGGGTTCAAAAAAGGTTTAGTAGTAAAGAATTAATTTATCGTTGTTAAACGTTATTTGAAATTGTTCGTGTGCTGTAAAGGAAAAAACCAGTAGATAAAATACGTTGAGGTTTTCGTTGCCATGGAAATCAGCCGTTAGCATAGTGGTTAAACTGTCTGGGCGCAATTCCAGAATACAAGGGTTCGAATACCGCTGCGGTAAAAAATTTTACTAATACTATTTGTGGCGGATGAAAACAACCGCCGCGTCTATATTAAATTTAGCGCGCAAAAGCGCGCGACTCGCGCTTTGCAAACGAGTCGCCTCTGATTGGTCGGCGACCGGGGAGTTACCTCTGCCTCGACACTCGCCGCTGAGAACACAACGGTCGACTTGTCTCTTTGTTAACAATAACATTATTTGAAGGGTGAAAATATTGTGAACACATCTAAAGTTCTTCTGATGTAATACAATTAACAGTGAGCACATTTGTGAGTTTTATTTAATGGCATTCCGCACTTTTCATGCCATATATTATTCCACTTTCAGGTTAAATAGATCATTTTTGTTACATTCTATCGAATAGGCAATATCTACGAAGATTGAGAAAGAAAGAAGGTATATTTTATTAATTCTTTATTGTGAACAACATCAATTGACACATAGTTTACTTTAAGTTCTAATGATATGTTTGGTTACATTCATTTAAGTAATTGCACGAACAGCATAATGTAGACATTAAAATTTAAATTTTTGTCAAAGTAGCAAGGACATTGGCCTAGTGAAAGCGAGATTTTTTTTCCTCGAGCCCTACATTATATCGATGGTAATCTAATTTTACTTTTATGTTTAGTATTCAGTAGATTCCAAGAACATGATTAATATCCCATTGTTAGTATATTTTACTAACACAAAAGATTAATTATAAATGGACACATATTATGAGTTAAAATATTTTTAGTATAATAACAATACATTTACCTGAAGTTATGTATGTCTATAGATATTGGCATAGCTAACTTATAAACTTTTCTATAAAAATATAAGTACATATATAATTAGCAAAAAATTGAAATACTGTATTTTAAGTACACTGCAAGAGAGATCTTATTTCCGAACTGTAGCGTAGAAAATATACCTATAAATGGAATAAAAAGTTTAAAGAATAACTTTTTTTTTTCCCATGTATCTAAATTCTATTATAAAATAGGATCTTCATTTATTTTGGCTATCGTAAGCTAAACCACGGAGCAACATAATATTTAAACGTAAATAAATGAAAAAGCTGAGAAAAATTTAACAAATATCTGAGGAATCATGTAATAATTACTGTTGTAAAATTCTTAAATATCAATATAATTTCACATTTAACGTCAGTAATAATTTAAACATCTAATTCCATAATTTGCCTAGGTTTAGATAAGTTACGATTAATAACAAGATAAATACTTCGAGTACGATATATAACTATCATTACGAACTAACAATAACGCTTAATTTAACTTTGATATGTTTTGATATTCTTGGCCATGTCGTACATGACAGCTCGTTACGCTGATATGTTTTAGTTACCTTACATAACTATCCAAGGTGCTTTTGCTTTTACTTGCTAAAACTAAAAATACTTGAATATTCTTATTCTTACGAAGCGACCAAACCGAAGTAATCGGTAAATAATGTGACTTACTTTAAACATCGACAAGTAAGCACTAATTTACATTACTAATCATTATGTCATTCTCAACACAGTATTGATAATTTGATTTCTTAATTAGGAAAACAAATTTTGTTCTTTTTAAGAAAGTCTTTATCTAGGTAACATAATCTTCACCAAGTGTCACATAACACTTTCATTCGTGATAAAACTTAAGGTAGCAATTTTTTGTTTCTACGACTTGTGCAACTAGAATTATTCTACAGTTAAGTCTAAGATATTTTTTTCTAGTCATAAGAAATTTAATTATTATACCAGAAATTCGTAAGATGGTATAACTTTATAGGGTTTTTTTTATTTCATTTAAAGAAAATTACAACAAATGTATAAGAAGATATAAATTTTTTGTCCATAATAATATATATTGTATAAATATATCTAAAGTTGTAACGCATCCAATAATAATATAGTATCAATTAAAAAAGCAATTATAAATTCTAATCTTTATATGGTATAAAGGTACAATTGACTATTTTTATCCTTTAATTTTAACAGTTGTTTTTAGTTTTTAAATGAATAGGTACTAAATATGTAGAATATTTTACTTTAATTAAAAAAGATGAAGTCGTTCACATAACGGTAATTATTGTTTATGCGATTACAGAAAACTTCTATGACAACTTTATCAACGTAATTAATTTAAAATATATTGTATTAAGTCATAATTCATAATTACGTAGGTACCTAATAATTAATAGAATGCAAGAATAAATAGATTACCTGATCAACATGTACTCGCTCGTAGTTCGCAAAAACGCATAGATTACGGCAGTATTCTTATAAATAGTCAAATATTGTTTTATCATTTCGAAAGGTACCCAGATATTACATTATGTACCTATATCCAGTATATTTCTGATGCTGAAGTTTATCTATAAAAACAATTATTACTTCGTTGGGCATTTGTTTCACAGTTGGGCATTTTCTAAATTACACACTAGTGTCCAAAAATGTATTCAACACACATAGATATAAATTGATATTAATACAATAGTGTTATCTTAGTGGTCAATATGTAATAAAATTTAAATATATATAAATGGTTGTCCTAATTTGCATAGGCATATAATTTATGCAAATTTAATAGTGTAGATAATTAACACGAAGAATTGATTTAATGTACATACAACATACAACGACTATAACATTTATTTAAAAATTCAACAACACTACTGATATGTTTTTAGACGGTAGATAGTTTTAAATATATTTTCATTAAGTATAAGAGATCTTTGATTCTTAAATTCAAAGCACTGGAACGACCCTGAAGAATTTACCTAGATACACGAACAGCGCCGAATACAGCGGAAAATTTTACCTACATATATTTGTTAAATCCATTTAGAATGTTCAGACATTTTCTAATATACTAAGAACTAACGAGATCTCACGAAATCGGATAGAAGCGAAGCGCTACTCTTAAAGCTTGGATACTCAGTTCTCCGGCTGCCTATTTTGGAACATGAGTTTCATGGTGTCGAGCGCCTCCTCAAGGGCAAGGCGGAACGCCTCGGTGCTGGTGACGGCGGAGGAGCAGAAGGATGCAATGCAGAAGATGACGGACTCCTTCTTGGGGTTGTAGCTACAGCCATAGCCGTCCGGCACCACCGCGCCGTACCCCATAAATGTGCCCTCCGTGGTGGTCGCGACCTGATGGCAACACTCAGGTATTTTATAGCATCCAATAGGTTGGTATCGAGACGAAATAATTATGAGGACTGCTCATTATTTAAAAAAAACTGATTTAGGTTTATTTCCATTTTTACATTGTAAATGAAACAAAAGCATCACCAAAATGAAATGGATCAAACATCAAATCTCCAATCCAATGACAAAATCTAAAAAACAACTGTTCAATTATTTAGTGAATATTAGACAAAATATCCCGATTACTCGGCCGAATACGAACACATTAAGCGTGTCGAATATACCGAATAGGAATATTCGGCGCAATTTGATCTTATTGAATTTAGTTTAAATGTATTTGTAGTCGTTTAGAAATAATTTAATTGTTTCCTTCGACTTCTTTTTTTTAATAGTGTCAACGATTTTACACAGCATGTCCTTGATCTCTGTGTCATATCTTATGCGCTTATGATCCTTGTATTATAATCTCTATTTATAATATTTCTAAAAGATGTTTTTAGTCAACACTACTAGCTTAAGCTTGAAGCTATGGGCAAAAATTAATAGAATCAAGTTCCATAAAAATAAACTTTCATTTAAACATTCTTACATGAATGTATGATAGTACGATAATGCCATCTTGTTTATCAGCCGACATTTTGTTTAAATCAAAGTTAACTAAGTAGATTTGTTAATGACATTGATAAACACCTATTTATAAATTGTATGTAATAATGTATTGTATCATTCAGTGACTCATCATGGAACTATGGAGAAATTTGGCACTGGTCAATGCAAAATGTTTAAATTATTTATTGGCAATGATGGCTCTATCAAATATGTCGTTACGCTCTTTTGAGCGTACAATAAAGTTTTCCCCGTTACCTGGCTGGTGCTGAGCTTGAACTGGATCATCTGGCCGTAGGTGGGGTCTGCGAAGAGCGGCGGCAGGTGGCCGAGCGCCTCGCGCGCCGCCTCGCGCAGCCCCAGCAGGTGGTTGTCGATGCCGCGGCCCAAGATGTTCGCCTCCATCACCGCGGTTTGCTTGCGGGCCGCCTCCTCGAACAGTTCCACTTTCCTTTGTTCCTTTAGTCAACAAATTGCATTCATATGTATTATGGATAAAAGGCTATGAAGGTAAAGAAAGTATGGGTATTGAAAAGGTCCATTGGTGGGGGTTATCACTTATCACTTAACATCAGGAGAAAAGCCAGCACGCTTGCCAGTTTATTACATAAAAAAACTACTTCTGTATGGAATGTTTCATAAAACCAACAACGGTGCATTGGTGGATTGGAGCATTATCTAACGAACTGAAGAACGTTTAAAAGTCATAAGTTTTTTGTTTGTATATAAAAAAAATTTAAACAATTGCGAGTTGGATTTTGAGTGTCCGCCCTGTCTCTCACCCCGTAGAGGTTGAAGGAGACCTTCCTGTTGGGGTCCTGGTGTTGGTGCTGGGGCTGGGGCTGGTGGGCGCACATGGCGGCGGCCCAGGCGCGAGCGGCCGAGTGCGCGGCGCGTATGTTGTCCACGCGGCCGCCGCGGAATCGGCGCAGCGACGCCGACTCGTAAGTCGACACCAGGTGCCCGTACATCCTGCACGCGATAAAACGCAAATGTTTGACCACTACACCGGCGATAAATGTTTTTAATTTATTTCAAATGCACACTGCTGCATGACCAGTCTTATTATGTCTTTAGACTAAATTGATTTGTTATGATTTGATCTAATGCATTATGTACGAATACATTATTAAAATAAATAGTAATAAATTGGTCTTTATAATCCTATCCTTAGGCTATTAATCAATGTGGTATGTGGAATTAATAAAGCTTATTGTTATTATTATTATCATTATAATCCTATCCTTCTGTATATTTCTCACACTACCTTACATTTATATATAACAAGCTGTTAGCAATGATTTTTTTTATATATTTTGGACAATTCACGAAATATCTTTATAAATTATAGCTTATGTGTTATTCTGATGGATAAGCTATATTATTGTTAAGGTTTCATTAAAATCTATTCAGTAGTTTTTGCGTGAAAGATTAACAAACATCCATCCATACATACAAACTTTTCGCGATTATAATATTTTTAGCTTTTTTAGTAGTGCATTTTTAAAGTTGCAAAACTTGGCATAAGTTAACTAGACTCACTTGAAGTAGGTGTACTGCAGAGCGAGCTGAATGTAGACATCGGGACTGGTGCGGCATGACTTCATGAACTCGCGTCCGTAACCCTCGTACGTGTACACGGTGAAGTCTAGGTCGGCTATGCGTCTGCGGACATCATCATTTTGAAAAGTTACTGCTGCTTTTGAATTGGGAACGATCAGAAGAACAGTTGTCTGCGTTGGATTTGTAATTTTTTGATCTGGTATATTCCATAGCCAGAGATTCATTATCACAATTTAAGATCATTTTCGCAATTTAACTTTTAAGCCTCCTCACTCATCGGAATAATAAGTACCAAAAATCGTAAAAAGACATCGTAAAGAAAATGATATAATCGTATGAACCGTTACCGAGTTGGGTTTCTAAGTAAGACTGCAAGCTGTACCGGTCGAGTTCCGTGGCGGCGCGCTCTACCTCTCGGCAGAGGTCCGGCGTGAGGGTCCAGCGCATGGGCGCGGGGGCGGGCAGCAGGGCGGGCGGCGGCGAGGGGCGCTCGGCCACCTCGGCGCGGGCCAGAGCGCGCTCCGCCAGCCGCACCACCGCCACGCCCTCCGCGGCGCTGTGCTCGTAGCACATGCCCACGGTGCCGTCCGACGATATGATCAGCTGCGCCGCGACACGATAAAGCGGCTATTGGTCTTTCTTATCGATGTGTATTTTTGTATGTGACAAAGTGGCAAACGAGTTGGCGGTTCACCTGATCCTAAGTGATAACCGCCGCCTATGGACAATTGCAGCACGTTGCAGACGCGTTGCCACCTCACTCACCAGACGAAACGCAGAAGTGTTACACCTATACTGCACGCCGGCCTTCTGTGAGGTCGTGGTACTAACCCGGAAGGACCTGCCCATTCATGCAACAGCCAACTCCATTGCGTGGCCCTACTCACAGTAATCATAAGCATTGAGGCTAAGGTATTTTTTTCTCGAAATTTCTTTCATACTATTCTGAATTGAAATTTTTGTCACTTTAGTTCACTTACATATAAAAGTCTAAATGTACAAAGAAAGGCTGCAGTCACTTTGCTCGCAATCCATCCCATTTAATTAAATACCTTCAGTTATCGGCATGATGTCATTGATAATTTATAGTATTTTTTAAATTTATTTATTTAAATATGTTTTTAATTAATTTTATTGTCCATTGCAATTTTTGTTATCTTTATTATCAATGTTATGTATTTACCATTTGTTCGCGCCTAAGAATATACGACAACAAATTATTTATTCAAGTTTGCTATTAAATAATGTCAGAGCTACGAAAAACTACTTCCCAAATAAAAATGTATATGACCATCCATCCATCTTTGTACTTTCAATTCAGACATACCGAAGCAGCGCCGTCGAGCAACAACTAATTTTGTACTATAACGATCTTTTATACAATATAAGTTTTTTTCAAAGTTTCAATTTGTTTGAAATTTCAATATGACCCATTATCCCAATATGAGACACCATTGTTAGCACAAATAGACAGGATTCTTAGCACAAGTTTTTATTATCTTATGTTATCATATGTTGGTAATCTAATAAATAAATAAACATCTTGCTGATTGCTGGTTGATTGAAGAAACAACAAATTCAGGGATGCTGTCGAACCCCTGACTGTAGAGTATCTTGTTTTGTATTAACTGATGTCTTTGCTTTCAGTCCCGAGACTATTAAAGCTTCATCGGACGCAGAACCGGTGGGCTAGCCAGAACCTACGGGTTTGGACCCTCCGCTATGGGTAGGGTCGCGCATGTGCTCATGCGTGCGTTTAAACTACTATGGTGTGTCATCTAAGGGCCGTCGAGGTCGCCGGTTCGGACCGAGACCCCGACGGCCGTCGACTGTGCATTTAGCTAATCGGTGGCTGGGAGCGGTGAGAACCGCCCTGGAACGCGGGTGTACCTTGTGTACGCGTTGTGTGGGTCTCGCCGTGCTCGGAGGCGAGGGCGAACTGGTGTGATTGTTGTTACACTAACTGTGGGTGTAGTGTTATCCGGCGGGAAACTGTAGAGTCTGATGTTGCACCGTACCTGCAGTGCCAATGGTGCGACAAGTAGGTGGTTGCTATGTACCTGCACGGTCTTGTCGAACCAGCGGTTGGCCGAGTGGTAGGCGGTGCCGGCGCCGTGCATGGCGCGCAGCATGGCGTTGGTGGCGGCGTCCGCGTCCGCCCTGTCGCCACCAGCCTCGTCCACGCACAGCACGCATAGCGCGCGCGATATCAGCTCCAGGTTCAGCCGGTTGTTCTCCTCTGTTACGCATAAGCGCCTCGCTTTACACTACCAACGCAACTATCTTGCGTCAAGATTAATACCTGGAGGTCCGAGCTTTGCGCGGTTTGTTTTTTTTTTTGGCAAATCATGTATTTTGAAAATTACATGTAGATACAAATTACCGAGTAATGAAATATGCATAATGTTTTTCGATCTTACCGACGTAATAATAAGAAAATATGAACTGGTGTTTTTCACAAAAGAAAGAACTTTAAAAAAAGGGAAAAAAATAACAAAATCATCTGGATCGACAAAAAATAAAGAAAACAATAATCTGGAATCGGAAAAAAAAGGAAAAAAATAAGTGTGTAAATGATCGTGACACGAACCACGGCCTTCTGTTTCGGGGCCGCCCGATTACCGACCGAGCTATTTACCGTCATATTTGAATGATATTCCCCGAAAACAGGGATAAAAGGACATTTTCTAAAAATGAAACCTAGCTAGATCGATTTTTCGCCTCCGAATCTACGCACATACTGAATTTCATGAAAATCGCTGGAGCCGTTTCCGAGATTGCGATTATATATATATGTATATATATATATATATATATATATACAAGAATTGCTCGTTGAAAGGTATTAGATAGATAAGAAGATGATTTTCTAGTTCAAGTAGCATTATGTATAAAAAGTTACAAACTTTTAGAAGTAATCTTCATGTCAATAGGTTAAATCATCAAGGCAACGCACCCTGATAAGTTGCTCCCTGGCCCTCGCCCAATCGTCCCTGCCCATGGAGGTGAGCAGGCCGACCTTGGGCGCCGCCGCGCTGCCAGCCGCCTCGACCATGGCATGCAGAATCTGAGCCTGGATCTCGCCGGCCGTCAGGCGGCCACGGTCTACGGCCTTCACCGGTATCGGGTAGAACTGACGCCGAAAGAAACAACATTATGTCCAACAAAAGTGAAAGAAAGCCTCAAACGTGGGTGGCGAACATTTGTTTCCCTGTTCTGCATGCTATTAACATTAGGAGGTAATAAGACGATATAGTGGAATAATTTGACATTGCATTCCAGCTCATTGTTCATGGATGTTACATTTTTATAATATTTATGAGATATAACGTTTTCCTCTCGTATTACGTTTCGTACTTTCTCCATTGAATACGTATTATGAAACAATTATCATAACATAATATTACTACTACGATTTATGAAGATAGCAATAACACGCTTTCTCTGAAGTGAAAAGGAAGCGTGGGTTCCTAATTTTATTCTCGAAACCGAATCATATTTTACCAAGTTCTGGACAAACTTTGTCTGAGGCCCGTTAAGTGATAAAGCACGGCACCCGGGACGTCGCTAACTAATGAATTTACCACTGGTTAGGGGACGTTGAGTTAAGGTCGTTGTCTGCGTTAGAAGGTAACGATTTTAGTTGTTTCGCCTTATTACACTCTTTACTATAACGTAGCTTTATTAACGAGCAAACTGCGTCTTATTAGATCTTTTAACATTTTTTTTCTGTTAATAAAACTTAATTTAACTTTGAGCCAGCGGAGTCAGTTAGTTTTTAAGGTGTAAGGGACCTTTCCGGTAGTTGAAATAAATAGATCGCACCATATGCGTTTAGGTCGGACTATTTTATGGCTTTTCCTTGATTGCAGCTATTAAGTTGAGTAATATTGGGATTCCCAATAAAGGCATCAACATATAAAATTTTGCACGGTGTCTTTTATTAGCGATAATACTAATTGTATAACGAGCGTAATTGACTAGCGTAACTTCATGTGACAAACTTAAGAATGTGGGAATGATTGATTATGGTTGGAGTAATTGGCATCGGCTATCAAAAGCTATCATCATTTATACCGTACAGTTTCTTTTATTGAATTGCTCACGTTATTCCTGCACGCCAAAATGACCAGTTCTTCGACTTCGTCTTGATCACCAACTGGCCGCGGTAGTTCCAGGACGTCTTTGCCCACCTCTGGGATGCGGCACACGCCCAGCAGCCTGTAGAACTGCTCCATGCACAGGGGTTGGCCTTTTTCGCGGCTGGTCGCCCTCTCCAGTGGTAACTCACCCCTGACAATTTTGTTTTGATCAATTTCTTTACTAATGTTACTCAGTCAAATAGCATCGTATAACGTTTAACTGTTTATTATTTTTTTTACATTATCGTAAATTAAGCAGATGTAAGGTTGCCATGTTAAGACATAATTATATTACGATTTCGTGACGTCAAACTGCAAATGGTACATTTTTCTTTATCGATTCATTCAGGTACGTGTTTAGATGCTTCAACAATTGCAATGAATTGCTTTTTTTTAGAACTGCGTGTATTACTGAGACTACGCTGTCCTTTTGTCTGATAGACCGCCTAATCTCTCATGAACCGCTATAGTTAGAACGTGAATAGAAATTTTCACAGACAATGTTATTCTGTTGCCGCTATAATAAATAAATACTAAAACAGAATAAAAAGATTATTTAAGATAGGGTGATCCCAAACAACAATCATTTTTTCCGTGTTTAGAAATAATGGTACACAAGCCTTCGTGAGCGAGTTTGACTCGCGCTTGTTTAATACGGAAGTATGGAGGATTATTATTGGTGTAAATATCTTCAGAGTTGTACTGAGTTAGTGGTAATAGAAAAGTTTCATGAATAAATTTCATTTTTTACACAATGTTAACCAGGTATTTACATACTCCAACATATTTTTCTTTTGTATATAAAAACATATTTAAGACATATGTAGAAACAAACACTCAGACAAACGAAAAACATTATGTTTATCACACTACATTTTTGGATGAATGGGGTCCGAACCCAGACTTTCTGATCTGACCTTCAGACCCCAAGAGCAAGTCAACTGTCCATGTCAATCAGCTCATTTAAGGAAATATCACGGTGTTTCTAATAACTCGTTATTTTTGTGCTCTACCGTAAAAACATAAAAGAGATATACATATAAACACCCAGGCTCTAGAAAAATACTACGTAGGGAATATTATATTTATTTATGTATATATTATTTAATTAAGATAAAAAAATATATATTTTTTAAATTAAAAACATAATATACATATTTTGATCGACTCTATGGCAAATGAGAAACGCGTGTTTTCCTGTGTTTACCTGTCTAACATTTCTTTATAGTCCAAGACGTCGTCAATGAAGAGTGCACCGAGGTCGGCCACCTCCTCCATTTTGGCGAAGTGCCTGCGCGGGAACACCATCCCTGGGTTGGAGTTGATGGGCAGGGGGAGCCGCACCTTCAGGTACATGTCGTCCAGCCACCACTCGGTTATCTGATTTTAAGTTCAAACACCTTCAATATAAGTTATCTTTATGTGTATAATTCTACTGTACGTGCGTATATTACTGGACTGATCATAACCGGCTGGACCGATTTTAATGAATTTTTTTGTGTGTGTTCAGGACTACGTCTGTCCGGTCCGCTAGCATAATATAGATTTGTTGTCTTACCCTGCATACATATAATCCAAATAACATTATATATTACCATTTACAATTTAGTCGTACTTTTGCTTTAGATGTTCGCTTTTAAGTTGGTAAAAATAAATCTCCGTTTATTTGTTTCAACAATAATGGGGTTAAATAAATACTGAGATACATGTATGAAAGAATAAAATAGTTTATTCGATAAAAAATTTAAAAATATCGATTATAGGGTACTGTTGGACTTAAAAAGAATATTGTTTTCCTGGATCTTCTCGTGGAACTAACTGTTGAGCTTGAGTAGTTTTTAAAATTGTTTTGCATTTTTCTTCTATATACCTCTAATTGCGGGCGCCTTGCCCTGTTATTGGTAAAAGCATTACGGTATTTAAAAAATGTTTTAATTTTTGAAGTATCTTGCACATTTCTATAATCTGTATTGAAAATACTAGGTTTAGTTACCGGCTTTACTGATGGTTTCTCTAAGGCATTTACTTTTATTTCACCAAATATATTTTGTTGCAGAGAAGTTATTTGGTCTTGCCAAGTGAAGAAAGGTGATTTGCGAAGCATTTTATAATCATTTTCGTTATAAGGATGTGTATCGTTCCGAAGCATTTCCATCGGCATTGCATTTTTATTACCTTGTGTTTTACCAACCTCGTTACTTCTAAATATTGGCTTTAAAATAATGTGCTTTGGTCTAGACGTGGCTGGGAAATTAACCATAATGGGGATATGATGCGATTTTGGTAAATCTCTTAAAATATGCTTCGAGAGGAATCGTCTCTTCGAAAGGAATTCTCCTGCGTTCATAGTTACTATGTTGTTGTCTCTTTGTGGGATATTTATTTTGTTCAGTTTTTTAGGTACATTAAGATAGCTTAATGTTACTTTCGTCTCGTAATCTACGGGTTTTGTTGAATAACTAGAGAGTTCTACATTTTTAATTGTTGTTGTTTTTTGTGTTTTCGTTGTCTTAAGTGTAGACATATAGTTACGCATAGTAGCTGTAAAATTTTTTTTCGTACTATCTGGTTCTTTTTTTGTAATTTTAAAAATGTTGTTATAATCAGATGTTTGGTGATTATATTTTTGATATAAATGTATTTTCTTGTTTGATAATGCTTTATTTCTTTTTCTCGTTAGCTCGAGTGCCAATTCTAATTGTGGATCTAAGGAAACGTCTGTGTCTTCTGGCGCCGGTTTGTAAGAATTATATTTAATAAATTTTCTTTTTTTCGTCGTACCCGTCATTGAATTAGTAGTGATACCGCTCGTTAAATAATTTATGTGGTTCGAGTTTAGCTTTCCAATTGTTGTACTTTTCGTAGTAGACGATACACTTGAAAGTGTATGTTTCTTTGCAATATTGAAGAGGGATTCCTTTGTTTCATTAATTGTCTTAGTTTTGTTATGAACTGTACTTTCTCTGTCAGAAAATTTCTCATATTTACTTCTATTTTGTGATAACATCGTCAAGATTTGTGTGCTTTTATCTATATTATATTTAGATAATTCTTTTACAGACATAGTAAGATTATTATTCGAAACGTAATCTCGTTTATTTTGTTCAAAATAAGTATGAGGCATACTGTGCAGCAGTTTTGATTTTATGTTGTTTTTCACTTTTGTACCATTATTTTTCTCAGTTTGCCTACTAATGTTATAAAATTTTGCATATAACGTTGTTGTTTCAAATTGAAAGTTTTCAGGACCCTGTTTACTTTTTATAATCGTATGATATATGTTTGAATTTTCATCTGGTATATGGTCTATGTATCTTGGTACATGGTTCAAATCATATTTCTTAGAATTTATAGAATTTTCGTGAACTTGGTTATATATGGTAATAAACTTTGGTTTTATTAAGTCATCAGTCTTATTATGAAAAACATTTTTCATTGCAGATATATTATTTATATTGGATAATATTAAAAAAGGTAAACTGATATTTATGTAATTGATTGTTAAATTCCGATAACTGCAGGGTTCTGAACCAGTTTTATTACCAGTTAATAATTTCTCATCGCAAATATCAGTTGCTTTGGCTAGTTTTGGATTTATTGTGTTGATTTGAGTCTTAGAATGTTCTGTTGTAGTATGGTCATGGTAAACAAATAATGGTCGAGTGTTATTATACATCGACACGGTTGTTGATAAAAGTGTATTATTGCCAGTAGTAAGTTTTTGTTTCTGTTTCTTTTCTTTTGATGTAATATTTTCTTTTATTCCTCTTACACTCATAGTGCCATAGTCAATTTCAATGTCCTTTTTAAATGTTCGCATATTTTTTTGGTTAAAAATTTTACTTGGGTTTTTTTCAGTTGTTGTGTTATGTTGTATTGTATGTTGAAATAATTGTTTTTCTTCGAAGATAGAGCGTTGTTGGGACTCTTTAAATTTTGTATAGGATTCAGTAAACACATCATTGATTGGATTTGTATTTCTCATTTGAATTCTTTCAGGTGTTATATTAGTATTAATAGCTACAAGAAGTTTTGAGTTTTTTCTATTACCTTGCGTATTTGTGGGATCAATGTTGTTTAAAACCCTTAACTTAATCGCTCGTGTATAATCTTTTTGATAAGTGAATATGCTTGAAGAGTTTTTAAGTATTCTAATTGCAAAGTTGGGTAAGGTTGTATTTTGAAATTTTAAAGTTTCATATTGTCTTGTAGGATACTTGATGGCAGTATTATTGGTCGTTTCCCTTTTTGATACCTCACTTTCCAATTCATGAATATTCATAGTGGTAGTCTGAAAGTTTGAAGCATTTAAATAACTTTTCGTTGAATCTGTTTTCTTATACAAATCAGAACCACCAGTAACGGTACTTTTTTTTGTTTTGTTAGATTCTTTGCGGACTTCATAGTTGTAGTAGCAGTAACGTAATTTTGTATTAGTTTTGGTTTGATATAAAAATTGTGAAATGCAATGGTGGTAGTGCCAAAAGAATTTATAAAATCTGACTTTTTAGTCATCCAAAAATTTTGTTTCGTAGAAGTTCCTTTAGTTTCATATGTTTTTGAATTCAATTGACCGTAATTCGTATATTTATCCACTAATGAAGTTGAAGAATGTTCATTCAATTTACCTTGCTCAATTTTTTTTGTTGACTTATTTAGCGGTGAAATATTAAACGTAGATTGATTTATTTTCTGTTCATTACATGCAAAAGCATCTCGATTTTCGAATGCTGGGCTGAAACGTCCTTTTTTGTGTTCATTAGTTATTTTTAAGAGCTTTAAATGCAGTTCGGATTGATCACTTTTGGATTCAACAGCTTTACCCTGCGGTACCGTCACTGACTGTATTGACTGCATCATATTTGTTACTTTACTTGAACCAATATGTCCTAAAAAGGCTTTCGTCGTTTCCGATTGATTGATTGACTTTAATTGTTTCTCTTTACTTATTCCGGTCTTTTTGATATGCATTTTAGGATTTCCTGTTTTAGTTGTGCAGTTCATGGTTCCTAACATCATTTCAGGCGATAACTGACTTGATATTTTTGTGGTAATGTGCTCAGTTTCAGCATTCTCACTTAACTGAAAAGCAATTGTCACGGCTTGATCCACAGTTTCCACTTTTTTATGAAACTGTGATTCATTATCTTGACTTACATCACTGCTAGCCGTAGTTGATTCCAATTGATGTTCTTTAATATCAAACTTTGTTTCAGATGTCTTTGACTGTTCTTCCATGTGTGTTAAATATTCAAGATCTTTAAAATTAGAAGGTATTGTGACGGACTTTTGTGCAAGCAAAAATCCTTCAGGGTATATCCGCGTTTTTTTAGCTTCTGTATTAACCGATTTTTGTTTTTTGATATTTTTACGTTGTTGTTTTGGTTTGTTAAAATGCTCTGAGTTTAAGGTAGTATCAGTAAAAACTGTTTTTATTAAAGAGTTCATGAGGTACTGTTGGAACGGTAATGTCTTATGACTTATGGTTGTATATGGATAAGTGGTTGCTTTTTCAGTTACCTCTTGCAGATATTTCAAATTTGAACTTTTTACTGTTAGTCTCTTAGTGGTGGTTGTATTTACATCAGTATTCAAAAACATTTTTTGTTCATAAACTTGTGATGTTAAACTTTTATTCACCATTTTGATTGATTTACTAGCCCAAGAAGTATTACATGGAATTTGAAACGGTAAATCTGTAACATTGTTTATTTTCTTTGTGAATTTCGTTTTTTCATATTTATAATCCAATAAACTAGGTTTCCTTTGTATTTGAATCCACATCGGGGTACTTGTTATACTGTTGCCTTTTTTTCTTACTTTTGTCGTCTTTAAAATGTTTGAACTCTCATAGATTATATTTGTTGAAGTAGTTTGGATGAAAGGTTTATCCAAATTATTTGAAAAGGCAGGATGGGATTTATTTGTCAATAATTTTGATATATGAAACTTTCTTAACATATTTGAATCGTTCGTTGTATTCACGAGAATTTGACCTAATTCGGAACCTCCAGATAAATGATGGATGTTAACAGTGTTAGCATTTGGATGATATTTTCCTGCTACCTCTGTTACATAGTCGTCCTTTATAGTTTTAAATTGTGTCCTTTTATGTAATTGACTAAGCATATCTGAAGCATTTTGGAACTGAAAAGTACTTTGAATATCTCCTTCATACTTTGTAGTGATATCATTTGCGTTTGAATTCAACATTGTTTTATTTTCATATGATGAGATTACTTTATTAGAATGATTATAACTACTTGTGAACTCATACATAGTTCTAGCTGTTAAGTCTTCTACGGGTTTAATATACTCAAAGGAGGTCAGATTAGCGCTATTGCGTACAGTTAATAAAGTTTCCGATATATTAGTAAATTTTAAATTGGTTGGTAATTGAATTTTACTTTCCGGTACAGCAGGTATAGTTACTCTAAATTTAGAACTCGTACGAGACGGCACTTCTGTATCTTTTTTCCAGACTTCATTTTTGTTCGATAAAAGTTTTTCACCACGGTTCACTTCACTATCAACAATATTTCTTGCTTTCTTATATGAAGTATCTTCAAATATTTGTACTTTATTAGATCTCATTTCTAGATTTATTAGTGCTTGTTGTGCTTGATTATTTTGATATTGTTCATTTTTATGTAAGTAAGAATCATTAAACAATTTATTTTTATCATTATTGATTATTTTCCTAACGTTGTACCTGATATTAGTATTTTTGTTGCCTAAAGTAAGGTTAGTGTTAGAGTTATTGTTGGTGTTTACATTAAAATTTTCTTTAGCTGTTCTTTCTTCACCATTTCCATTATTGAGAATTAATTTTTTGTCATACAATTGTGTCAAATTTTTTATTGTAGACACTATTTCCTTATATTTTTGTACTTCTAAACTGCTCTGTTTTTCTTTATGAAGATTTGTGCCTTCTTGAAACAGTGCGTTTTTATTTATATAACAAAGCTCTGTGTAGTTTTTCTCATTGCAACAGAATTCGCTGTATATATCATGGGTATAATCCGTGAATAAATTTATGTATAATTTGATAGTTTGCTTTTTTCTAAGAAGTTTAAATGTTTTGATACGATTTTTATTTTCACTTTCAATTAAAAGAGAAAAAATTGATTTAAGATTACAATATAATACATTCGCAGTTCGTGAAACTTTTATTTTATTATTCGTCGATCCGTAGGTGGAGTCTAAAAAGTCGATGTCAATTGTAGAATTACTCCAAATAATATTATTCAGTTCATTTATATCTATTAAAGGTGATTGTGAAATATCTTTATTTTCTGGATTTTCAGAGGGGTATAAGGTTATAATAATAACGAGTGGCCTTATTATGTTTTTATCATATTTTTGTTCATGCTCATACAAATTGTATTTCTTGATTTCATATTTGTGTTGGTCTTTAGTTTTTATTAACAAGTCATAGACAAGATCGTTTAAATTAACGTCGTCACCGTTCTGTAGCTTTTGGGAATTTTGAAAATTTGTGCGTACATCTAGAATTTCACCTGTCGAATTAATTGTATGTTCAGTTTTTGTTTCATTGTCGAGATATTTATATCCACTTAAATACAATAAGCTCTTTTGTAAATCGTTACAGGTTCTTCGATATATATTTTTGTACAGTTCTACATCGTGATTAAAAATGCCTGTTTTTGACAGAGAATTTCTTATATTTACACTCATTTGTTCTTTTTTATCCAAAGTGTCACGCATATAAACACATATTTTTTTAAGTGCATGAGATGTAACCTTCATTCCAGATTTGTCGTAAGTTGAAGAATCGATCGTTTTAAGAATGTCTAAGAACACTGCACTGTCACTGTTGTTTTCTTTATTCACCAAATTAACTCTGGTTGTTTGCGATTCATTTTCTACAACTTTAAATAGTAAAATTATTAACGTTATTACAGTTTTAATATTGAAGCTCATTTTTGAGCAGGGTGGTGTTTATTTTTCGTGGCAACATGTTGACTTTCAGTTTTCGCGGCGAGCAATGGCATAGTTAAAACATCGATAGGTGGTAGTGTTATTGTTTTCATTTCTAGCCCCACAAAGAAAACGTGACTGCGGTTAAGTGTTAACAAGTAATGATTTAGTGTTGTTTAAAAATTGCAAAACATGAATTTATTAATTAGCATTGTTCTCAATTGTTTTTGATACAAATAAATAAAATATTTTATTGTTATTTATTTTAATGAAAAATGTATTTTTATTGAAATATCAATATTTTTGGCGTTTTTAAAATTAAGGTTCATTTTTTACAAAGATGACGTTTCAACTAAAAATTGTTGATGCTGATAGAATGTAGTAAATAAAGGAAATAGTAATTCTTTACGTCTTAACGATGTTTAAATAAACTTACCCAGTTATCCATTTCCTTCTGACGCTCCAGCAGCGTCGCCTGTAGCCTCGGACCCAACTCCTCCATGAATTCCTTCACCAAAATTCTGGTCTTCTCCAGCTGCTGATGGCTTACGATCACCGATGCGAACTCTAGATAAGAGTCCATAGTGGCTTGAAGATCGGGGACCGGCAACTTCGGTAGTTGTACATTCTGTTAAAATATTCAAAGTTATCAGTCGGTGACGTCAATCTTAAAAAAGTATCATAACATTACTTTTTTTAGGAAAAAGTGTCAAGAACAGCTAGGTCATAATTCTCAAACCTTATCCGATTAGTATGTTATTTGACTCATTTGTTGATTGATTTTTTTTATATCATTCACTTCTCATGTAATTAGAAATTAAGTAATGACTAGTTTACCTGGAATTCCTCGTCGTCCGTGCCATACACCTGGGTGCTGAGCCAGCGCTTGGGGAGCGATAGCAGCGACTCGCCCCATGCTGTGATAATAGGAAGGTTCAGACACGAGTCAAAATTTAAATTGTATTAATTAAAAATAAAAATAATAAGCCCGCTGAGTTTCTTTCGCCGGTTCTTCTCAGTACAGTGGCTTTCTTTTCCGAACCAGTGGTAGTATTTTGACTATCAATAAGCTAGTGTAATACTCCTATGTTGAATAAATACATTTGAGACATCGTGACTGACAATAATACGGACAAGTTGTCTACGAAACTTAATGTATTTAACTATAGCTTATTTTTATTACACAAATATACAAGAACTGTGTAAGCACGTTATATAGCCCATTATCTATTTTAATAATTGACATGCACAAAGTTTACTTAATTCCTAAATACGTTCCCATCATTTCTGTAATAGCATCATGGTGGAAGACATACGTCAGTGTTCTACGTCCGAATTGGAAGTATGAGAGCGAGTAGTTCATTATTGGTAAGTGGTTATCGCCATCCTAGTTTTCGGATTAATCGGTTAAAACATGTTCGCAGCGTATATTTCGCTGCGAACGCCGCACGGAAAACTCTTCAATTGCATTGTATTCACGACATAATAGACCATGACATTAAGATTACGGTGGCACTGTTTATGGTATCGTAAGTAATTCTTATCAAAGTCACTCAGCCTGCTTCGGTGAATAAAAAGCTTTGGTTATGTGGGGTAACAGTACACCTTTGTCCAAAATATATAAATTCGGTTTGCACAAATATTGTGTAATGTGAAAGTCAAATTAAGTGATTTGTGTGTGGTACATGCTGATGTTAAAACAACCAAGTCATGGGCAACAGTCCAAACACGGTTCTAGGGTTCAACCTTAAAACCTCAGGTCAAGAATAATAATTGTGTTGGCAGCACTAGAGGAAGTGTCATTCTATGTATACTGCATGAAGCATTTTTCATTTTTTTTTGGCTGTCATCAAGAAATATACACGATAGTGCTACCCAATCGGTATCACAAATTAAATCGTTAGAGTTGTGATTTTTTAAAATTGAAAATTAGTAATAATACCAGTATTATTGTTGTACAAAGCTAAACTACGGTGATATAAGTAGTTATATTTCTACAATCTTAGCTCGATAAAACGCCCCGTACACACAGAACATATCTGTTAGTTTTAGTATAATTTTCTTTCTTTCTTTCTTAATTAGTAGTATCAATAAACTCTCACGCCGCATAATCATTGCGAGGTTAACTTACACCGCCGAGGCTACCACGTTTTAGAGAACTTACGATCTACTGGTTAACATCAGATATAAAATCTATAACACGAAAACCTCATTGTTATTTGGAACATGAATACGAACTCACGATCTTGTATAGCAATTTGGAAATCCAAATTATTTATGTTAACGCCGGTTTCTTAATTCAAAATTAGTAAGGTTAAATGATTTGTTTTATGACGATGTTATATGACTTATTCAGTTACACGTCTTAATATATAAATGAACATTTCTTAATTAATACTGTCTATTAGGGTATAATAGACGCTGGTAGAATTTCAGATTACACGTATAGTACAGCGTAATGAATTGCAGACCATCAGTGTTGATTAGTTGTGGCTGCGGGCAAATAAGGGTGCTGTAGGCTGACCGTAAGGCTGGTTAATTAAGAAATGGACTATATGTATATCGAAAGTGTAAAGTCGGTATATATCGATCGTCATATTTCATTGCCGTGTAGTTGTGGGTAAATACATCAGCTCAGTAAAACTTTATTCAAACTTACAAGCTTAAAAGGTATCGCATAATAATTTAAAGGCTTTTATGTCTACTTCCCCATATTGAATTATTATTACTTTCTTGTCTAAAATGACACACGTAAGATTAAGACAATTCGTTTAACGTAAGAAGTAGCAAAATTAGTCGGTCAACCGCAGTTGGCATAGCAACCAGTTTATTAAAAAATTCTAGAAAAAGGACGAAAGCTTTAAACAATAAAATTTTCTAGAAATTTTAACGTTTCATCTCAGTGTAGATTACAAACAGGCCTGTTTCGAGTAAATTAATTGATTATTACGAAACTAAGATAATTTTTAAGTCTTAAATACAGTGCAAAAATTATCTTTCTCGTCTTCGATATTAAAACATATATACTCGTAGATATCCGTTCAATGTGTATATTATATTATAACGAGTTAGACAATTTGTGCACGGCGCCTCAGGGCCTAATTTGATTCGCAATTCTCGTTCGATGGGCCGTCGAGCTCGGGGGGCTATAAGATTGAACACATTGACCGATCGCCTCGACAGACCCCAATCACTTGGGGTCCACTAACTAATTCTGTCCCATAATGGGCCACGGTTTTTACAAATTTTCTATCGAGCCATTTCTCTGTAATGCTGTTCGTATATTCTATGGTACACCATTCTTTTAAGGCGTGCACTTTTTTGTTTTATAACTTTTATATTTATTTATTATATTTGATAGTTTTATTTATTGTTTAATATATTATTTAATGAATGGGCAACAGCAGGAATTCACCGCAGTAGACGAAGATTGTATGAACTTTACAGTAAAAGGTCATACAACCATTCTGAGACATTTAAAGATTACGTTAAAAATTACTCAAAAATATTTAAAAAAGTGTGTCTTGCCGCCAAGTCATTACATTTGAGAAATAAAATTAAAAATGCCTCTAATAAAGTAAAAATGACTTGGAACATTATAAATAGTGAAACAGGAAAAACCAAATCACGTAGGTCTGACTACCAACTCAATATTGATAATAAATTTATAACGACTAATCAGGAGGTAGCTGAAGTATTTGAGAAATTCTTTAGTGAGATTCGTACTTTAACTACATTGTCACTGAATTCTTCTCCTGCTGTTGCCGAGACATTACTTAAGGAAAATGTAAGTGCTTGCACCACAATCTTTAAATTTCAGGCTGTATATGCAAAAGATATTATAAAAATGTTTAAGACCATTGAACTTAAGAAAACGGCAGATCTATGGGCAATGTCCGTTGAAGTGACTGCCTCAATAATAAATTCAATGGCACCTTATTTGTCAATAATTTTTAACAGTAGTGTAGATTCTGGCGTATTTCCTGATCTCATGAAACACAGTAAAGTCATACCTGTATTTAAATCGGGTAGTACTTCGGACCCCACTAATTTTAGACCCATTTCTATACTACAAACACTTAGTAAAATTTTCGAAAAACTTCTTCTAGATCAGCTGTTAATACATTTTAACTTAAATAAATTATTACATCACAACCAGTTTGGTTTTACAAGGGGTCGTTCTACAACCGATGCTGGTGTAGAGCTGATCAAACATATATTTGAGGCTTGGGAGAGTTCACAGGATGCTCTGGGTGTCTTTTGTGACCTTTCCAAGGCTTTCGATTGCGTGAATCATGAAACACTGATCAGGAAATTGTACCATTATGGCATTAAAAGTACCGCGCTTGACCTCATTAAGTCATATCTATCTAATAGAATTCAAAAAGTTGTAATTAATGGTGCTTCTTCTTCTGGGTCGACGGTATCTATGGGCGTTCCGCAGGGCTCGATTCTCGGCCCATTTCTTTTTCTCATTTACATTAACGATCTTCCTTACTTTGTAGGGAGTAAACACGATATAGTGTTATTTGCCGATGATACATCATTAATTTTTAAAATAGATCGACAGCTTGTTACACTTGACGAGGTAAATAATGCTATGTCAGAAATAGTCTATTGGTTTAATACTAACAATTTACTATTAAATGGTATATAAAACTAAATGTATGAAATTTTCAACACCTAATGTTAAACATTTGGGTGCTACCAATGTACTTATAAAAATGGGGGGGAGTTAGGCCTTGTGGATACGACTGTCTTTCTTGGAATAACTCTCGATGCAAAGCTTCAATGGGATCCCCATATATCCAAACTTCCGAATAGACTAAGTTCTGCATCGTATGCTATAAGGAAAATAAGATGTCTAACTGAGGTAAAAACGGCTAGAATTGTGTATTTTAGTTACTTCCATAGCATAATGTCATATGGTATTTTGCTATGGGGGCACGCGGCCGATATAGAAACAATCTTTATTTTGCAAAAAAGGGCCATAAGAGCTATTTATAATCTAGATTTGAATGCATCTTTGAGAGAGAAGTTTAAAACTTCCGAATAGACTAAGTTCTGCATCGTATGCTATAAGGAAAATAAGATGTCTAACTGATGTAAAAACGGCTAGAATTGTGTATTTTAGTTACTTCCATAGCATAATGTCATATGGTATTTTGCTATGGGGGCACGCGGCCGATATAGAAACAATCTTTATTTTGCAAAAAAGGGCCATAAGAGCTATTTATAATCTAGATTTGAATGCATCTTTGAGAGAGAAGTTTAAAGAAATAAATATATTAACCTTAGCCTCTCAATATATATATGAAAATGTTATGTATGTGCGTAGAAATATTAATAATTTTGATAAGAATACTGATATACATAATGTGAGCACTAGGAACAAACACAAGCTTGTAAAGCCAGTTACTAGACTCCATAGAGTAAGTAACTCGTTCATGGGGCGATGTATACGCTTTTACAACAAAATCCCAGTAAATGCGCAAAACCTGCCTATTAACAGGTTCAAGAAATTTATTAAAGAAAAACTTTATAAAAAGGGTTATTATAATACAAATGAATACATTAATGACAATAACCCCTGGGAATGAGTTGATCGCTCCCAAGCTATTTCTAAAAAGAAAAAAAATCAGTTGTATAATATTTTAATTTTTTGTTAAGAAAAAAAATTAATTACAAAAAAGAGGATACCTACGGTGTTTCTTTCGCCCGTTTCTTCTCCGCTAGAGGAACCTCATTACGAAACGGTGGTAGATTTTAAAAAAAATATGACTATTGATAAATGAAATGTAAGTTTCTTATGTCGATGAATAAATGATTTTGATTTTTGATTTTATTTGGTACTCACTATGTGTACGTAGTGATTAGAATAATTTACCTTCATTTCATGACTCTTCTTTTAATTGTTCAATTGACCTAAACATACAGTTAATCTTTTATAATTTGTATTTATTTGTACATAAGAGAAAAAAAAATATTTGGGTAAAGGTCTTAAACTTGTAAACGCTTTATTAATTATGAGCTTTAGGAGAGCTTGAAAGCTAAGTAAATTGTGTAAAAAAACTTTGGTCTAAAAACTTATTGATTTAATCTGTAAAACGCATCTAACGAAAGCAGAACTGAATTTCGAATTCGCCTGGGAAGCGAGTGTCTAGTTCAAATTCAATTTTCAACTCCGCTGTATCTTGAGTGCGGCAATTGAATTCTGTTCTATTGAAATAACTCTTACAAATAGTACTGTAGCACTACAATGAAGAAAGGGATTTTGTGGATGACTTTTCAAGAATGGAGTAGTTGCAAATACAAGAACGTACTGAAAACAGTTGTGTACGCCAGAATGCTTAGACTCAGTGGTAGACTTCAGGCTATCAATGGCCTCCATAGGATTTGGGATGTTTTGTGCCTCTTTTATCCTAGCGTGCGCCAAAAAGTATGTTCATTAATTCACAAACGAATTTATACAAATGCAAATTAACATCTGTAATTGATTAATTCCTGAGCTCAGGTGACTTCAATTTAAATATGTCTAATAACGACAATATTTGTTTGTGTTTCAGTGTCAGGCTAATGATTATCGCGACACTTCATTACACTAATTCGTAACTAAGCCTACGCATTTGGCATGATCTTTTCGATGGTGTCTAGTTAATACTATTTTTTATTTTTATAAAGACTTGATGACTCCGTGGCGCAGTTGCCAAAGTATTGGCTTCGGCGTCGGGGGTCGTGGGTTCGATTCCCACACGGGACAACTATTTGTGTGACCCACAGATAGTTGTTTCGCATCTGGGTGTTTGTCCGCGTGAAATTTATGTTTGTAAAACGTCCTTTACAACACAGGATAATATTATCCTAAAGTAAGGGCAGTGTTTTTTAAATTAAAAAAAAAAAAAAAAAAAAGTAAATATTGCATTCTGAAAGTGTATGAAAAAAATAGTAATAATGTTTTTTGAAGTTAGAATGTGTATTGCTTTGCCGTTTACTTAGGTTTGGTTAACTGAATACACAGTGACGGATTAAAGCATAGTGCCGCGAGGCGCTGGCCTAGGGCGGCAGTTATCTAGGGACGCCATTTTTCTTTAAAATTATTTAAATTTTAAATCGAT